ATTCAACGACGAGTACATAATAATTATAGAGATGCGGTAAATACATAAATAACATTTTTTTTAAATCTACATTTTTTGTTGAGTTTAGGAAAAAAATTATGTTTGTAACATCGATCCCAATTTTAGACAATATATATTTGAAGATTCTAGCACATCTACATTAATTACTAAAAAAATACCTAGCATAAAATCCCCAGTCCTAAGAAAAAACCCATAACTATTTACCAGAGATACAGAAAAATATAGACAGGTTGCCTTTTAATACAAAAAAAATATAAAAGAGAAAAATACCATGTTTTAATAATGATAAATGAGTCAATGTCACTTTATGACTCACATAGATATTTTATGGCTCATTCCTTGAAAATCATACAGTATTTTACCTCGGTGCAAGTTACAGAGCGAGATAGAAAATACTTTTTTAATATCTCTCTTTCATTCTATTTGCTTTACATTACCGTGTAAACGTCGAGATGATAATAAGGGCAATTGTGCTTATCAAGTAATTGGTTTTAATTGAGATATACACATAGATAAAGTAAATAACAGTTGCTTATATAAATTGTGAAATATACCTTCGGAACGTCTTAGGTTCACTAAGTTCCCATAATGTTTACAGTACTATACACTGATCGCGAGTTCGCATCGCATAATACACCGGGGACCTGACTCATTGACTTATATTTTTACGTTTCAAGGTACAATGACCCCAAACTATAAACTCACTCTCAAGAACTACAAACTCCAAAAATACTACACAACAAACATAACGAATACGCTTATTTGCTGAAATATTTCTTTATAACACAGTTCCTTGCAAACTGCATGAAATTGAACTCCAAACATTCGAATTATGCTAAAATGTTCGAACGCACACATCGGACGTTCATTCATGAATTCCATGACGCAAGTGTTCAAAAACATAAATGAAACACACAATTTAGCACCTATTACACTTATAATAAGTTATAAAATAACTGTACTTACCACCTAAAGCGATGTAACACGGAGTACACACAATCAGCTGATCACAATACGTAAAATTCACACTGTATTTTTGTAAATAAGTCGAACACGTGCGGCCGGTTTGACAGGCAAAACACATCTGGACAGTTAGTTTAGGTCGCCGTTCGTGTCGAGACGCGGGAGTGCCGCGCCTCTAGCCACAACACCGCATTTTTGTAACACAAAAAGAAATTCGCTCCAGAAAAAAACCCTTTTTCGCACTCAAAATGCGCCCTCGCACCACGATGTTTCTTCTCCGAATGCTATCATTTACGTTAATTATATTGTTTACACAGTTTAAGATATAAATGCTTATTTAACTTTAACAATCCAGATAGATAACAGTGGAATTTTACGTAATATTTTTTGTTGATGATGCAAATAACAATCGTATGTTTTCTTTCTCTCAAAACTTTGTTCTGACACTTGGATTGACATTATATGTGGTCAAGGGTAACGGACAAAAGGAGTTTTTATCCCTTATATTTAATTACATTTTAACACAAGTAAAGGTTATTTTTAAATGTTCTATAATTTACTATTAGAATAGCAGAGCTCTCGAATACTCTCGATCCCTGAGAACCACTATAGGAGAGCTGCTAATCGCAACTGATTAGTCCACTGTAGAGGTCACGATAGTCGGTTCATGATATTATGTATGTATTGTAGATTTGTTGTAATATTCTGTACGTACACGATAGAAATACCTTCATAAATGCAAGATGCCATAAAGTCTAAAATCGCACTCAGCAATATTAATAAAATCTACAAATTATATCAATTACTTGATAATTATATCTCCATATAAACAAACTGGCCAAGACAGATAATATTTTCAGACAAGTATTCTTTACTGATCAGATGATGAAACATATACTTAAAAGGTGGCATATGTAAAATCCCACAGAATACTTTAATATATCCATGTAAAATCCTAACTTCCGTAACATATTTTTCTGTTTCCATTCATTTTTTATTTTATAGGCAACAACTATTACACTTATTTATCACAGCTATTGGTTCCCTTTATTTGTTATATTACTCTTCTATATATAAAAAATAATCGCTGAATGCGTTGCTAAGCGCAAAATCTTGAGAGCAGTTATGTGTCAATTATATTGTCATAATAATTATTATTAACAAGAACATAATAAATGAGAACCTCCTCAACATTGCATTTATCACGCAGGTCTAGGTATAATAATTTACAGTAATGTCATTTAATATATCAGAGACAATATAACAAGATACAAGTTTTGGGTCACGTACCCATATCGTAAATTAAAAGATATAAAGTTTAATTGTCATTAATTTGCTAGCTTGATTTTATTTTTCTTTAGGGTCTTTTCGTTATTTCGTAAATGTTTCACAGCACAGAGTCTCTTTAGAATTGTGCGGCAGTGTACGGCAATACAATACCCATATACCCCCATTATTACTTATTTTATTACATATCATTCGGTCGGGACTCGTAACATAACATAACATGTGGTTAAATGTCTGGAAAAAATCGATCTCCTCATAAAGTACTTTATGGAATATAAATTGCTCGATATAATATGCATCGAGCAAAACATAAAATTCATGCGTCTCTATATGATAAATGATTAAAACGAAAATATCCAATAAATAACTTTAATAACATTCGATTAAATGGACTAATATTTAAGTATAACATTTTCAAAAGTCACTATACATAGGACCAATAATTCAGTAGCTTAAATACTAATATCATAAGAACATCTTAATTATATTGTGCATATAAAAGTGTTACATAAATAAATAAATAAAGTACAATTTTATTTAAAAACTAATTTCCCTATATTGTGCACTCTCTACAATATCGTAAGTCTACATTTTTAGGCCAAGAGGTCACGTTTGTTTATACAAAATCATCCTGTTTTTTCTTCAGCACGTTTTTTTAAATATTTTTATTAATGAGATATATTTTACTAAGTACACAAAAGGTCTGATTGCTAGAATACGAATATGAGATAAAAAATTGCATACATTTTTATCTAGAAATACGAATTAAATATGGTTACAAATAAGGCTCATGGCACATGATTTATAATTTATATCTAGTAGTTTTATTTGTTTATTTTGGTTCTGTATAAGTTATTTAATTTATGTATAAATACTATATACCACTGTTATGTTTTTAATAAGTTAGGTAGTCTAATTTTGGTAGGTACTTAAAATAAGACTGAAAGTTTTCGAAAAGACTTCAAGTCGTCGCAATTCGAGATATATTTATCAATAGTAAACTTTTATAAGAAAGGAGAGTTCTTTTCATTGTGAATTTTAATTATTTAGGATGGTAGGTACTGTCTATGAAAAATTTTATTCAATGTCAATTTTTTTATATCGTATACATAAAATGTGGCAAAAAATGTTAAATTGTTTAACACTAGAAAGGTCGCCGTCCCAATTTTGTCCCATTTGCAAGTTTGATAGCTCATATCTTTTTTATTTTTAAAGTTAGGTGCGTGAATCTCAATCAATTTTGACTTTTATTCATTGTATTTTAATAATTGTTTGTTGGAAAAAAATATTTATAATGATTATTTACAACTAACGCTGGGTCATTTCGATTCTCGGCCTTTCTAGTGTTAAAATGAACACCGTATCATAAACAGAGACGTCAATGACCGATCTCACCAGAGGCGGATTGAACCTAGGGACCGCCCGAGGCCACATAGGCCATATAGGCGCTCCTAATTTTTTTTTGGCTCTCGGCGCCACTCTATGGACCATTGGGCACGCGCGTTTTGCGGCGCCACTATAATCTGGCGCCCCAGCAACTCGCCTAGCTGTCTTAACCGATCATTCGACTTTTATAACATTTATTAGTATATAAATAGGTAGATATTATCAGGCAATAAAAAAGAAATTATGATCTAACTCGTTACCGAAACACGTGCTGCACAATACAAGGCGGATAATCTTAATTGCTTTAAATTGGTGTTTCATTTAAATAACTGACCCAATTGACAGACAGACGCGCCTTCAATTAACTGAGAAATTGAGACAACTTGAAATGTGTAACAAATGTAAACTATAGGAATGGTTTCTGTGATTGTTTTACGTAGATAGTATATGAACGAGTGTTAAAGGTAGTCGGTACATAATAATCTAATATGGATTACTACGAAATAAATTGTTTAGGTACCATTTTAAAAGAAGGCGTGTATATAATTTGGCTTAATTTTATCTAATTTGGTGTCTTTTATTGCTAAAATTAATTCTAATAACTAAATTTTAAACAGCTGCCTATATATAATTCATTGAACAAAATTCTACGTATGCTACAAGCAAACTATAGATAAAATTCAAATTTAATAAATTCACCTTAGAAACTAGAACTCCGTTTGCGAAGTTAAATATTATTCGTTATCGAAGATTACATTTTTGCATAAATATTTTGTTACTTAAATGACTACAGGAATAAATATTCATAAAGACTAATTTAATAAAATATGGGAACCGTTAATTTAATAAACTGTGACATTTAGGTGATTTCATAAATTATGGTACTACTCTTAGACTAGGCAAGGCAACTCCATACATTTCTTCTGTCTACGTGACAGAGATCTTTTGTAAATGCATAATTCATTTGAAGATCAATCAGACTTGATTTGCGTCATCATTAAATCATTGGAGTGTACTGTCCCTATAAGTCAGGTGACCCGGCCCATTACTTAAAAATCATTCACTAGGCAGCGCTGATGTAGTAATACCAAACTTTTGTTAACTAAACTTTTGACTGCAACTGCAGTAGACTAACAGGACTATACTCGCTAGTGGCGCCACTCGCAAAAAATGAATTTTATGATATACATAGAGCGTTTAACGTGTTAACTGGTCACCTGATAGATTACAAGTATCATAGGAATTACAAGCACGTTACCAACCTTAAGGGGCTATAGAAGAGAGAATTCATTGTAATTATTTCTAGTGTTCTGTTTGTTCTAAGGCTCTAAGCCATGCTGACGTTATCGAGAGCTGCACGACGAAGTTGATAGTTCTTCACCGGTTGTATAAGAGAGACTAGTATACCTGCCACTACGATCCAGCCTCCAGCCAGGTAGAACGATAGCTCCCAGGATAATGTCACGTCGTAAATGAAACCTGGAATCATTGAGATCATTTTAAAATGTAATTTAAATTTACAAATATTTCATTTAAATCAGTAAACACCACGATTGTCCAATTCACAAAATCTCATTCGTCATCAAAAGCATTTTTTAGTTTTGTTAATAAAATTAATTCCCTATTTATCTTTGTCCTGTAAAGAATAATTGTATACTGTTTAGATTCTTACCTGACAGCGGTGGACCAATAAGATGGCCGATTCCCTGCGCGAGTAACACCAAACCATATGCCGAAGTAAAGTCGTCCAAAGAAACCAGCTTGACCAACAGACTCGGTGTGAAGGTATATGACGCTGCGAAAAACAACCCAAAAGCTGAAGCAGCAGAGGCTAAAATCCAGTAATTGGTGGCTGCGGCTGGTGGAATGGCTGCTACAGAAGCACCGCAGAGTACAAGGCACACGCATATAGGCCTCCAATGGAAACTTGGGGAAGTCTCCTATCCAGCCAAGACCGACCTGGAAAGAAGAAATTATATTTCATCAATATCAATAAAAATGTACTAACGTAACGTACTTTTCTTACGTTTAGACTATGACACAATCTATACACGGAAATCTCAGTGTATTGAGTGTCAATAAGTAATAAGAGTAACGCATAAACAGTATGTCTAACATGTATAATAATTTCTTAAAATTCTATAGTAGTCTGAATATGAAACACATGATCAAGAAGATCACACAAGGTAGACCTATTATCATAGCATTCATGCTACGTGCGTAAATTATTACCTATGTAAGTAAGAGCGTATGTCAGTCTAAAAGAATTTGTCGCACAGAGCAAACTTCCACAATATGAAGGGCTCCCCTAATCATTGTCTTAAATCACCAAGAAATCGTGATCATACGCTACACTTCACAGTTAAAACATTCATAATGAAATACATTCAGAAATTCTACACAGCCACAATTTGGCACAAACAGCGTCCTCTCAGATATTTGGAAACTGGATATTATCTATTTCTGGCCAGTGCTACCACAGTTATGTCAAGTCACCTCGGGTTTCGGGAACCTTGGAGGAAAACCAGACCAAGATCAGCCTCGTGACACACATAAGTACTTAGTATAACAGAGTTATGCGCCATTTGAAACGCAGATTTATTATAATTGTCTTAAATAAAGATTTACCAAAACAACTCTCACAAAAAGGAGCTAAAATTAGGAGTTGGCTTTGCGTCCTCCCGCTCCATAATGTCATTGATAAACCGAACCTTTTACGTTTGGGCTCATATATTTTAAAGGGAAAAAATCTTGATAAGTTCTAAATCTAAAATGATTGCAGTTGCATTGTATCCGAATAATAGGTTTAGTTACTTTAAGTAGCCCAAAAATGTATGGAGGCTAGGTCCTCTAAAAAAGTCATGAAACGTAAACTTTACTGTACTAACAACATTTAAAAAACTTTAATGGAAGCGTCTTAAATTTCTTAAAAACTGGCGACAATCCAAGATCGAGGACTCGAGACGCGAACCTTACAAGATATGTATTTTAGGCAAGAAGCCAAGGAATTAAGTACAAAACTGTATATCTAACATTTTGGCAATATTTTGGAATTTTAATAGAAATAAATACCTACTATTTCACATACAATGTGCAGAGGGTCTGTATTTGTTTTTATTCAGGCGCAGTTTATTTGTCTAATTGCTACAAGCTGAACACTAGCTACAATATTTGTTTAATGAATGCAAATCTTAAACAGGCATACTGCAAACGAGGTATCTAGTAAAATATGAAGTAACATACTCACCATTCCAATAGTATTAGTAATTCCAATCAAGCTGAGCATGCCAGCGCCTTCATCATCAGTATACCCTTTATGTATCATGTGCTCGGCGAGGTAGAAGTAAGGCACGATAAACCAGATAAACAAAATGATGGTACCCAAGCACAAGAGGTTAAACGTCATGCGCTTGAAAAGGGTCACGTTGAACATATCTGCGAGGCAGCTGAAGCAGTCGTCGTACCAGTTCTGGAAGACGTTGGACAAGTTTTAATAAAAATTGTTTGTAGGTAAACAACTGAAAGAGATTAAGAAAAGACTAGGCTAACTATATCACTATCCAAATTAATTAAACATAATTTTAAATAAGCTAACATTGATGATGAACGCTAAAGTTGTTGGATACATCCCAAATATTACTTTTTACATCTGATTCAAGAAATTCTGTACACTACTATAAATAATGTTATACATACTAAAGTAGAATAAAACAATAACTTAACAATACTTCTTACCTCTTCCTTCTCATCGATAGTGATCATAGAGTTCTTGAATATAGGACATGAAGATGCCTTCAGCCTATACCTCTTTATGTTCAGCATCGCATTTCTGTGGCTTATAGAGTTTAAGGGCATCTTTAAATCCCTCAAATAATGATGATTTACAGACAGTTGCTTTTTCAACCAATCTTTTCTGTTTTCTTTACTATCTTGCTTTACCAGTTCTCTGTCATCCTTCGTTTCAGACTGAGCCTTTCTCATTACCTTTCTCTTCGGATTCTTGAGTTCATATTTATCCGAAGTCTTATCTTTATTCTCATATTTCTCTGAATTCGTTCGTTGAAGAACGTCATTCGTGTACTTAACTACAGGGGGGTCGTTTATTTCGTTGCTCGGTTCTTTTATCAGTTGCTTCTTCGTACGATTTATGGCAAATGCTGGATACTTCACCTCGATCCCATACGCCCTGCTAGTCTTTTTTACTAATGTATCTAATGTTCCCATTGATAACTGAAATAGCAAAATGTATTTTAACCACATGTCATAAAATTATGATGTCTAAATATTTAATTATTTACTTTACTAACTAGATAAGTTGATTAGAAAAGAGATTTCGAAAAACAAAGTAACTATTACTGCCATAATAAATATTAGTAGGTGTATCTCGTCTGCCTACTGTTGCTAACCAAGATACGTAAAAAGGTACATACCTTCTCGCTGTAAGTGAGATACGTCGGTAGGTTCTCTACGGATTGAGATTTTGAATTGAAACGTTTACTTTTCTTAAGTTTCACTATCTCCTGGTGACGTTTGATGTTATTTGCCTCTTGTTTGATCACCTTTTCCGGAGAAACTCCTCTTTTGATCAAGCCAACCATACTCTTACCACGCGTTGGTGCATCAAAATCAAAGACATATGGAACAGAAATTGAAGCTGAACTGGAATGTCTAGACTTATCATCATCTTTCTTAAGTTTTCCTTCATCTCTGCTGCTCTTCTGTCGTTTCTGTTCTTCTATCCACCATTCTGGATCTCTCATAACGCACCCACAAACACATAAATTCAAAAGTGTCCCAGAGAGTAAGAGAATTGTACCTCTCCATCCGTACTCGTCAATAAAGTATTGTGTCATAGGTGCATACAAGAATGTTCCAACGCCAGTACCACAAGCTCCTAAGCCAACCGCCAGATTCCTTTTTTTCTCGAACCAGTACGCTATAGATACGACAGCGGTAACGTACACCAGCCCGAGACCCAAACCAGCAATAACTCCAAAAGTAATCATCATCATTTCTAGGCTCGTAGAAATGGAGGCAAGAACAAAACCCAATGTTGAAATTAAGCCACCAAGAATAGTCATACTACGACAACCATACCTGTCAACCAAAGCACTCATCACAGGACCGGAGAGTAGTGGCACAGCGATGAACAGGCTGCCGATCCAGGCCGTTGTAGATTTGCTGGCTTCAAATTCTTCTAAAAACTCTATGTACAGTAATCCGAAAGAAAAGCTGATTCCATCTGCTATCATGGATATTACAAAAGAAGACAGCACAACCACCCAACCCCAGCCACCATCTGGTATCTTAACTTTTTCTTTATCACATTTTCCTTCCTCATGTTTCCTAGTTTCGATATTTATATCAGCAGGATTCACGGTTATTTTAACATTATTACCTTTCGGCTTATCCAGTAATGCAATTGCTTCATCGCCCAAGTTTGGGAGTTTCTTTTGAATTGTTGGAAGCCGTTCTCGTGTACTGAATTCTAGGTCAGGGCTCGAGAACGAAGCAGTGCCAACACTAGTAGTATCATCTTCTTCGCCTTTGCAAATTCCTGATGTGGAGTCAGACAGAAGAGATTCTCTTACAGCACTTTCTCTGACCAGTTCCCTATTCTTCGGAGTCCTAGTAGATCTCAAAATAACTGGTTCCCAATCTTGTTCCATTTTTACGTTTGTACTACAAATAATACCATAGAAAAATACTGGAAGTTGTTAGATGTTTGTTTGTAAATTTAGGTTCTTAATCTTGGGTCTCGGGCGGAGTAGCGGCTGGCTTGCCTTGCCACACTGTTAAGTTTCAAAGTATTTGGCTTATTTTGACCGGCCACCATTAAGAACCGGGGTAGGATCTGCTCAGTGACGTCACCCATACACACGTGTTGGCGGTAAGTGGCGCGACTTAGCGCCACAACTTGACGACACAAGAATACAGAGCTCGCTGTATCTATATTTATATCTGTGAACAACAAAATTATTATGATTAACTTTACGTTTGATTTTAAGCCTTTCATTACCTAGTAGAATGAGTTAGCAATGGTCCAATAGCATTTAAGACTTTAAGTGTGGGGATTAGAGTTAGAATTTAGTAGAGTATTTTTTCACAAAAAACCGACGTGAAGCAACGCTTGCATTGTGTTTCGTCGTATGAGTGAGGTTACCGGAGGCCCAATTACCCTCCCTTTCTCCAATCTCCCCAATTCCTGAATCCCCAACGATCCTCAAAGTCAAATTCAAAGCATTTATTTCAATTAAACCATAGTTTGGTACGTCAACAAATACAAAATAAATAATAGTCTGTCAGTCAGTCCGTCAGTGAAACTAGGTGAAGCTAGGTACTCATTCCAAAAAGCAGATTCGAATGGAGAAGAACGAGCAAAAAACTCCATTCGTTACTCTTTTTAAAAAAAGTATGTTCTACAATGTCTCTGATACATATTTCAATACTGTACGCATATGTAAGAACAATGCAAAGACATGCTTGACGAATTATACTAATAACATACTAAAATTTAAAAAAAATAAAAATCTTGAAGTCCAAAATGGTGCTCACATATGCATACTGACAATCCATAGAATTAGTGCTTCTATACAAGAAAAGGAAACTCTTTGTTTCAATAAAGAAATGCTCGATGCCATAAGGAAACTAGATTGTCTACATTAGAATTAAAGTGTTAAATTATGTATTAAAATACCTATTTATTAAGTAGAATTTAGCTACTGACTACATTTGAGTATTGTCCAGTGGAGCCGAACCAACATGCTGCCAAGCATTCTTATGTTCAAGATAATCTGTCAGTGTGTAGTAGGCTTGATTACATAATTCGCGCTTAATATATGTTTTAAATTTACTTTCATTGAGATCTAGTATGCTATTTGGTATTTTATTATAGCATTTAATACCTAACCCCATAAAGGATTTCTGTACTTTGGACAGTCTGCATTGCGGTATAGCTAACTAATTTTTTCCCTCTAGTATTAAAATTGTGTTCTTCATTCTTCAAACAATTGCCTATTTTTCCTTACATACATTATATTTATATCCTCAAACTCCTAATTCCCAAAAGGCCAGTAACGCACTTGTAACGCTTCTGGTGTTCCAGGTGTCCATGGGCGACGCCGATTGCTTACCATCAGGTGATCCGTCTGCTCGTTTACCGGCTTATGCCATAAAAGAAATTTACTAATTAATCAAACCCCAGAACAGAAGTCGTTGTTCAACGTTCACACGAATGGCTACTCAACCTATGGGGCAGTCTTTGTTTATTCCCTATAGCAGTCGTAACTGCAAGGTTGTACCAGTTTTTACATATATCATGATATTTGTGATCTAATCATCTTAAGTTAATCTATTTAAGTGAATGGAGGGTGCGGTTTGTTTACATCCTTACCTAATTCGATCGTCGATCGAATCGAAGAACCCTTTCTTAGCGGACCTCTGTTATAGTGAAATATATTTCTACTTCATATTCATAAAAATGATATAGCGCAAAAAGGAGGAGCGTAAAGCGTGAAGGTCACATGGTCTAGAGAAGCACTCTATAGTCAATACTATCAATTAATAATTTAATTCAATTAAATACACGTAGTTACCATTACTTAGACATATTGGTGAAATTTATATATAAAGCAGTACCTAAAAATAAAAAACAATGTCTAGTATCCTGTCACTTAATGAGCAAACATGAGCCCGAGAGCCACTGAGACCCGTCTCAGTTAAAATTTGTATATTAAGATCTAGGTACTTAATAAAGTAACAAGGGTAATTTTTCTTATTAACAATAGTAATGCACCTACACTTAAAAATAGATGCGTAGGTATTGCAGTTATTTCTAGCATTATGCCCGCAGCTTCACCCACATGATTCAAGGAAGATTGTAGTCTATACATCGCTCTCCAGCCTCACATAAAAATCATAGCACAAAAACACAGCGTTGCGAAAGGCAAATATATACAATTTAAGGAATTAGGTGTTAATATGATCTATAAAAGTAATACATATATTAATTTGTAATTGGTTACCAGTACCTTGAAAATAATATCAGTACTTTCATTCGACAATCGATATTTGCTGTTAAAATTAAAGTCACAAAATCGTTACACCTGTTTAAAAATGTCTAAAGTTATCAAAGTTACTTACATGATCGGCATTGTATGTACAGTGCCAATATATTATAAATAATTAATTACACTGCCAGATTTTAAAAATAAATCGCAAGGCATCAATCACATTCTTCAAAAAACATGATTCAACTCAGTTATAACACAAATTAACTTATTTTAAAAGATATCCATTTTATATTAGGTAAAATTAAAATTTAAAAAATATATACGAACGGCGCGGGAAACAAAACAGTTGACTTCTCACTACATTAATCGATCGAAATTTGAAATTGAATGAATTAGTAATAATGGCGCATCAAATTATAGATAATTAAAAAAATATTAACATTCTTACTAACCTGCATAAAACCTCTAAGGTAAATAATTCGTCAGACGACCACTCAAAACGGTATCCCAGGTCTATATACGACCGGCATGAGACGAAGCGATCAATAAAGGGTGGCTCTGGGAGGACAGGGTGGCGCCTCCATGGACATCACCAGGATCCATGACCTCCCCTCCCCCGCTGTACACAAACCAATGTACAATAACTAAGGGGCTGTTGTATAGTAGGCCAGAGGTCTTTCAAACTGGTTGATTCAGGCTGAAACCTTGTTACGTAGCCATGACATGACATCACATACAAATATGCATTATGTGCAAGAAGTTAGAATGCTAGATAGTTATTACAATATCAGAATGTTGAGTAAATGCGAAATTAATTATCTATGGTGATTATTAGTAACTTATTTGCCAACCACAGTCCATATACGCCACTAATGGCCAGAAACATTTTGGCGGGAACATTAATTTTTAATTAATTTTCCTGTAAAGCACAATTATAGGTACATTGACAATATTCCATTATTACATTATTTCTTTGTATTTACCTACCATCATCCACTATAGAAAAAATCATATAGGGAATTAAGTAGTTTGGTACTAAGACTACATAAGCATCTAAGATGTACATGTTGCTATCGAGGTACGGCAGGCGCCTTACCACCTTGACGCAAAAGAATAAGATCCCTCGGGGGTGATTTACGTAATAGCCTGTCGACAAGCGTGGTATTATATTGTTAAAATAGATCGCTTCGAGGAAAGTTCCACTTCACAAGACATGAGACATGACATGACCCATGGCCATAGAATGTGACGCAAACACTGTTTTTATTTGTGTAATATATGTATAAACACAGCCGAGTTATTAATTTAGTCTTAAATGTATTCGGGCAAAGTATTACTGGGTTTTTCTCAGTGGTAGCACGGAGTCTGGAGCTGTGGTGTGTTGGTTGCCACAAAAGTAGTTGTTACATTACAGTGGCATTAAGTGCCGTAAATCCGTAATGTGCACCTCTGCCTACCCTTTCGGGGATAAAAGGCGTGATGTTATGTATGTCTTAAAATGTAGGTACTGACAAATAACATAACATTCTTTTAAAATTTCTGGTTCCTATTATTTTGTAATAGGTAGGTACTTAGTTAAGTAGTTAGTAGTGGTAGCAACACATTTACGAATTTTGATATTGGAACCACACATAAATGATTTTTATTCCATAATAACTTGACAGATTTTTGCATTATTACAAAAAAGTATTTATTTTAAAGTACCTTACGAAATACGAACGAACAACATGAGGCATACAAAATCATTTTGCTACTCGCAATAATCAGGCGCTTGTTATCTTACCGCTAGAAATTGTAGAGTAATAGACACATACGAAATAGCTAAAACCTGTTTATATTCAACATGTATTAGTTGTATTACTTCGCTAACAACTACCTATTAGGGTAAAATACGTCTGGTCTAAGTAACAAGACAATATTTTACCCCGAATTCTCTTGAGGGCTAGGTATATTTATTAGGTAATTTGATGCTTAGAAATATTAACGACCGAAAGTTCACGAAAATGTCATTCACTAGACTTGTGTAGTTAGGTACAAGGTAAAAAGATAACTTAGTAATTTACAAGAACGAGTAGGTAGAGCATACCTAGTTAAAATTTAGTTTATGTAAACTTTAATCATTAATAAAGGTGACTGTCCTTGTGTCCTTGAAAACTTGAAAAGTATTTTATAACTGTGGATAGTTCCATGATCCAACGAATATTTTCTTATTTCCCTATATTTATCTATCCATTAGCGAAAAGAAAGTAGTGTACATTTACTCTGAAGGGTCAAGGTTAATGTATTACATAAATGGTATCAAACATTAAAACATCGATACGAGGCGGTAAAGTAGGTAACAAGAAGCGAAAAAAACAGCGAAATTGTTTCGTTCCCTTAATATTTTTGTCTTTAACAAGAAACATTTATAGACTATTATTATGCGATGTAGTTCAACACACGACTAAAAAACAAAGAATCTTTATAGTTTTAATAGAAACTTTGTACACCTGAACGCGACTCAATTATTCTTGATGATGAACGCATTGTTTATAAAAATGTTGCATGTCCAAAAAATATTACTATCGCAACAAGAGGGCAAACAGCGGATTTTAATGATGTTAAACTCTATAACGGTTTAATAATTAAATTATTTTACAACAGCACATCCAGTTGTAACTTAAATTTATTTTCAATGATAATAAATCAATATTAAAAATGCAAAAAAATATTTTTGTAGTTTACTGATTAAATAATTTTTTTGTTGTTGTCTGTGCAGGAAGTTGATGTTTGATACTTCTGGCAACATTGGCACCGTTCTTTTCTCTGTGAGTGTTGGAGACACGTGCGTCGTTTACGGCGAAATCTCTAAAATAATTTAAAATGACTGAAGGAACGGCAACAATTCGTACGCGCAAGTTTATGACCAACAGGTAAATGTGATAATCTAACAGTTTCAAAGTAGTGAGAGTTATAATCACTGTGATAAGTTGGTGCCTCGCCATGACAGGTTATGTGTGACAACGTTTTCGATATTTTTGTAGATTGTTGGCGCGCAAGCAGATGGTATGCGATGTCCTCCATCCCGGCAAGCCCACCGTCAGCAAAACTGAGATCCGTGAGAAGCTGGCGAAGATGTACAAGGTGACACCTGATGTTGTGTTCGTATTCGGCTTCAAGACGAACTTTGGTGGTGGCAAGTCCACTGGCTTTGCTCTTATCTACGACACCTTGGACCTGGCTAAGAAGTTCGAGCCTAAGCACAGACTGGCCAGACACGGCCTGTATGAAAAGAAGCGGCCCACACGCAAGCAGCGCAAGGAACGCAAGAACAGGATGAAGAAGGTGCGTGGTACCAAGAAATCCAAGGTAGGAGCGGCCGCCAAGAAGTGATGTGACGGTTAGGACTGTAAGTTAATAATAAAATCCAAAAAAAACTATTTTGTTGTTGTATTTTTACTTATAAACTTAATGATGACAGGTGCGTAGGAGGTTAACTTCTCACCCGTACTCCATTCTACAGTTGATACTAAATAACATAATATCTTTGATACCTAGTTCTATTTCACTATTTAAAACTGAAATACAATTTTTAATTTGAAGTTGACACAAGTTTACCATTCAAAACTAAAAACCATTGTATATATTTTTAGTTAAACGCATAAGCTCTTCAAGCATTACAACTTGATTATGGATGATGCTAGGACATGAGTTATTATTTATCTAAATGCAACATAATTTTGTTAGAGATACTTGTCTCCTAATTTTATTGTGCTTAGTTAATAGACAGACAAACTTGTATCAGCAATACTTGATGTTCTTTTATAGCTACAGGTCTTTGTAACCGTGTGACAATCGAGATCCTAATCTTTTTGTTGTTATTTAAAGTTCAAATCATAAAAGTGACAAGTGAGTGGGACTAAAAACATTGTAGAAAAGATGATGATCATGAAGTTTTTGGCACATGCAAAGGTGGTTTGAAGTCTGTTGATAATATACCGTGAAACAGGGTGGATAAATGTTATGTTGTGTTTAAAATCTATTCACGCTTTATCTATGTGTATGATGCATTTCGTGGAACATTTTAAAGCAACAACAATGTTCAGGTTTCAACTTCATAAAGAGTTAAAAACAATGCAATTTAGGAGTAAATAAACAAGATACATTGGCTTATAGTTAAGTTTATTAAATGTACTTTTAAATTGAATTACTTATACATAATTCTTAAAAATTCAGATTGATTGAATTATCTTTCGGAGAATGTATACAACATAGGGTAAGAAAAATATTTTACAAAAGTTATATGACATGAATACTCAACAACCAAGTGTTGCTTGATATACATTTTTACAAGATAAACAAGAAGTTCTAGCTAAACAGAAGTATAAAACTGAGCAAATCCAGATATTTTTTGTATTGTTTTTAGTTGATGTTTATACATAATCTCAACTGAAGCTAGCTTGAAAAGTTTCTGACGGAAATAGTTTCAAATAAATAAACATTTACAACAATCATTGTTGTCCACCAAATGTCAGCATTGGGCGAACGTTCGTTGCTCTGTTACATCTGAACATTAGTAACTAATGTTATATACTAAGCAATACTTACCAAAGCTAGTTGAAATCAATGATATTATAAATAATAAAAAGAGGTCATTCAAGTTGCTTTGGTAAGTATGACTTCATTACAACTGCTAATTCTGAGATAATCTTGGAGGTGGCATATTTATGTCATTTGTTCCTGCTGTTGCTGTCGTAAGTATGTAGGCAGGACTCCAGAACGCAACTTCGGTCTATTGTGGACTCTACGTTCGTGACGTCGTATCATCTTTCTGGAATGTGATCTGAATGAATAATTATTACCTACAACTTGCAAAATCAGCAGTGAGCTAGATAGGCTAATACCTCATTTACTATTGGACAAAAAAAGAAGTAAATTGAACTATAAAGGGAGTTTTGTCCTTAACAGCAAAAGGATTGATTTACTTGCGAGCATTTAAATTTTACTATTACATACCTGGTTGAAAAGGCTTTTCCACATGCATTGCAGACATGGGGCTTAGCTGTGCTATGTTGTGTAGCCAAATGATTTTGCAGTGCCTATAAAAGAATTTATCCTATTTAAAAAGGAATATGTAGCGGTAAAAACATTTATCTGAAGATGAAGATAACGCTGCATGATTAGCTCAATCAAAAATTTGTTAGTTCAAGTGGTGTGATTACATCAGGGATTAAAATTAATTTTAGTAAACGATAGGCAGTATGTGGTAAATAAATAAGGTGCAATCAATTATAAACATTACCTCCTTAAATCTAAAGCTCTTGACACACACATGGCAATGATAGGCTGGTGGCAGATGTCTCCTCTTATGCGACGCGAGATTTGAAGAGTTGAGGAAGGTGGCCGGGCAGTGTGGACAGGTCAGGGGTCGCTCGCCGCTGTGAGCTCGCTCGTGAACCATCAGCGCATACTTAGTACGAGCCCGGTATGGGCACTGAACACATGGATACAGCAACTCCCCCGTGTGAATAAGCCTAGAAATATTAAAATCATTCAGTACGGTCGTAACTATTGGATTAGTCTTTGAAATTCTTACATAGTAACATCATCAAGACCAATTTCTGGATATTGCTCAATCTTAGGTACCAAAATCTACAGAACTGACAACCCAAAAAGTATTTTATGCAAGCTGTTACTGTTAGTTCCTGTCTTACCGTTGTAAAGGATAGTGCCATATCAACACCCTTTTTCACAATACCTATGTAATGTACTGTACCTAGGTATACGCTACATGCACCTAGGAATCTAAGAAAGTAGTAAGTACCACATGCAATATGCAATGTTTATAGACTGTACCTAAGCGGTACTTACTTTTCGCAATATTTAGGTAGGTAAGGGGTAATCCATAAAATACGTCACACGAATTTCAAGTCCTTGTTTTAGATAGATTATAATAGTTTTTGAAATGTGACGTCACAAGTTCACAAGTCATACAATGTCACACTATCTCACCGTCGAGTTCCCTCCCCTAAATGTGTGACGTATTTCATGGATGGCCCCTAAATAATAATGATAGAAATACCAACGTACATACTAATGTCTAGTAGGAAGTAGAGAAGATCAAGAGAGTCACTTCATGCAGCTGAACGGAGACCATAGAGCAACACGGGCCACCGGCGGACCGGAGGGGAGTAGCCATACGCAGGCGTTCCCCTCTGTCAAAGTATAAGTCCAAATGGTCCTATGCGTACAATAAAACCAGTTGCAACTCAACTGCTCACCAGACTAAATCTAGTTGCGTTAGTGAATCGACGGCGTCGTAAAAATGTCGAATTGTTCTGTTTTTTGCTGCAAAAAAAGATCTGCCACGTCATTTACAAAAACATGGTGTTACCTTTCATATTAAGTAATTTTTAATCACATTATTGCTATTTACTTCTTATAAACTTAAAAAAACTACAATATTATCAATCGTCTTGTTTCGGATTTGTTTACCAACAAATCCGTGCGTCCTCATACAAAACGCGGATCGGTCGAGCGACAGATCCGAGTTTTTTTCCTAGAATTCGCTGTCGCCGAGCGATAGCGTTGTTGCCGGTTCGTTTGTAGATAGTTATCGATAAAAATGTAAAAGGTGAAGTCAAATGTGAGATTTTTTGGGATTAAGTTTTCTGATTTAAATAAAAAATACTGAGTGAGAACTTCAACTATATTTATTATTATTTTATTTATTTATTGCAGATTTCCTAAAGATCCAAATTTAAGAGATATATTATGTAAGACATTTTGTTATAACAGACCAACCTGGGTTTCCCACAAGAAATATTGCCATTTGCTCAAATCAAGATGAATTAGCAAGATTAATAATGCAAAAATATACTGATACAATAATTTCTAATTTATTGAAAAAAACAAACTCCCAAAAATGTATTCGTCATATTTATAGAAAATTAATCTATTTTAAAAACCAGTTATAGTTCCGTATCAGTATTTCATCACTGGTTTTTAAATGGGATTAGTAATTAAATTTATTTCAAAAAATGAAAATTTTATTTTTTACAATTATCTTGTCTGATTATTGTACTAGTAGGTAGTTAAGGGTATAATAATTAATTAGGTATAAAAAAGGGCATAATAATTAAAGTCAATAATAATATCTGTCTTTGAATAAATTTTTAAAGCTGATTTCCTTAACAGAGTTCTTGAATTTATCGATAATGCGTATCGATAATTGTTACAACTGCGTGTGTAAGTGTAATTGCGTCATATTATTACACTATAACGACAGGGATTGTTTAAATGTGTGTGTGAAATTGTCAGTGTATTTTTCAATTGTCATAGTGTGAGTTTCGTAGGGACATAGAATGTTTTTGTGTGAGAATTTGAGAATGTGTGATTTCCCCCCGCAAAAAATGACAGACAGTTTTGTATCGGTTTATAACGCAATGGCTACTCCCCTCCGTGTTGCTCTATGACGGAGACAATGGTTTGCTTACATGTGTCTCTTCAATCTTGTCATAGACTTCAGCTCTAGCCCACACGTTTCGCATACAAAACTCTTCTCGCCGCGAGAACACGGCAGTTTTCCATGTTCCGTGAACATCTTCTGATAAAATAAGCATATAAAATTACTTGGAGTCTTTTCAACTATATATATAATAGGTAGGTATATTTCTAACCAAATTCAAAAAAAGGAGGAGGCCATCTAATTATTTTGGGATGTTAAATAGACCATTAATTTTCGTTTAATTACGAGGTGCGTAATGTCGAGGGCATTTTTAAACAAATATAAATACACATCACACCTGGGTTTTACACAAAGAGTTGTGCCGTGCAGGAATTGAACTTGCGACATGTTAAGCAGATATCATGTTAGACACGTTACGGACTGGACTGCCTCGTAGTTGTCGCAAGTGCGACTGCCTGGCAAAGGTCTAGGGTTCGATTTCCGGGTCGGGCAAAGTATTACAGGATTAAAAAAAATCTCAGTATTAGCACGGAGTCTGGAATTGTGCCCGGTATATGGCAATAGGCTCTCCCCCTATTACATGGGATTTATAACATAACATAAATAGTGAAAAGTGGGTGTTACATTGTACAGTGTCATTAAGTGACGTAATGTGAACCTCTGGCTGCCCCTTCGGGGGTAAAAAGATGGGATCTTATGTTATGTGGTTTACTAATAAATTAATGGTCTGCTGATTTTCCCATAGCAACAATTACCTGGCTATCAAATGTTTGTCGACATTTTCCACAAATCCATTCCCGTACGACAGTCGCGCCTTTTTTCACAAAGTAGCCTCCATGAGGCTTCTTCTCTTTCTCTTCAGAATCTGATTCCATATTTGTTACTGTAAAAACATTCGTAATTAGAAAGAAATAAGGTACCCGTTTGTTTGGTTTTAATTTTAACATTATATTGGTACCTTGATGAATAATATCATCTGATCCTTTCCTATTGAGTTCCTCCTACATTTAATTTATAATCATCAGGCTTTACCTCCCATACCTAATAGGGGTAAGCAGACAAGATAGAACTCAACCCAGGCCTCGACAGGCCTGAGATTTAGACTGACCCCTATCAAATGGACTCATAACATAAAAAGTGAAAAGTGGATGTTACATTGTAGTAGTATTAAGTGGCGTAATGTGCACCTCTGCCTACCCCTTCGGGGATAAAAGGCGTGATGTTATGTTATGAAAACAAAAATGATGTTAAGTCATCTATTTAGCTTAGACAATTCTTTAATTCGGTGAGGGTGGTGAGAACAGGCACTTAGAGTTTTTGATATCTACAATTTAATTTTTTTAGCTAAGAAAAATTCCGTAGAGAAGTCTTACTTAGTTCAAGTTCCTGCTGCAGTCTCCACTGGGTGACCTCAGCAGTTTGCCTCAGCTGGTGAGCATTCCGGAGTACCACTTCACATGCATTGCAAATGTACTGCGGTTTATCATCATTCTGGGTTACCTACATAATTAATAACTATCTTAGACATGATAGTTAATTTGAATTGATGGGCCCATGTGCATGTCCCAAATGTGCAGTGAAATGGGACGAGGAGTATAATTAATATAAATTTTGTTTCTTGAGTTTATGTGGATTAGTCTTAGTATGGGAGTAGTAACTAATTTACTTGAAAGTGTAACGGCATGTATCATATTACATGTGCCTGTCTAATGTTTAAAAATATTACAAAAGCAGATATGATTAGGGCCGTTATTAGAGGGTGCCCTTGACGGACATATACTGCCCAGATTGGCGATATATTAAAGAAGGACCAAATTAAAAGTACCCTTAACTGACGAGCATCTATGAAAAGATTGATGACTATTGATGAAGTCTCTGCCTACCCCCTTCGGAGAAAGGTGTGAAGTTATGTTTATGTATGTATTTACAAAAGTTGTAGGTACCTGTATCTGCAACATTTGTTTGATTACGACAGCTACATCAAAATCATTGCTGTCAAACATCCTCTTGTTGCCTGGTTTGAGACACAGTCTGCAAGTTTTTCTGTATTTTGGATTTTGTAATAACTTTCTTAATGATCTGAAAAAACCAGTAATGATGAGTATTATATGATTATGAGAAGTATTGAGTTAGCATCAGCTAGCCCGTTGAAATCCATTCCCTAAATTTGGTCATACAAAAGTAGTCTCTAAACATTGGAAATAAGGTCTATAATGTAATATAATATTAGTGGCGAGCGGTCACCGGTGACCGCTTGGGGATCTATGGACTAGCTCAGTTTTCTTTGATGATCTAATAGCCTGTAATCATGAGAAATGTCCCCAACTTTATATTTACGTCATAATTTAATTTTATACTCAGTTAAGTAGATAGCCCAATTTTCGAAACAATGAATAAGGGTCTATAACTTTCCCCCCGGCAGGAATCAAACCTGAGATCTCTCACTTAGCAGACAGCATTTTCAAGATTGACCAACTCGATAGCTCATCTAAAGTATGTCGAAACAGTATCTAGATAGATACTACCTACTATTTTTAGAAGTAGTACTTATTATATTTATTATAAATAATGTAAATAAATAACACAAATATCTTACACTGTACTTTTGTGCCGATTATGGAAAGGGTATTATTTACTAAATTTAGTAAACAGGAAAAATAAAATAACTAGTAATAGGCATGTACTACTTACGAAACTGTTTTAAAAGTTTTCTCGTTATTATTGGATCTAAGCCATTTTATTTTTTCGAATTCGCCTGTACTTAGTTTTATTGACATCATTTTTTGAACTAATAAACTAGAAGTCATGTTGGTTGTTTTGATATTTTACAATATTCTACTATGTTTTATTCTTAGTATTATTTTATGAACAAATAGACAAGTCCACAAATCGATTAAAATGTATGTACTATTAAGGTAGGTAGCTATGATTGGTAATTCCCCTATACTAATTAAACTCTTTGCTAAGTAGAAAATAAAGTTCAACACAGTAGAAAATGCATACAAAAAAATAGGTGCACAGATTGTCTGTCAATGTCAAATCCATAGGTCTTTTTTCTTTTTTTTTTTTTTTTCTTTTTCTTTGGCAACTGAGTCTCCAATACGATGTTGTCGACTATACTGCCAGTGTCGAGTGGTGACGGCAGTTAATGCACCGTCGAACTTTAACTTTCTGGTAGTTGTTAGTAACGTTATATTTTAATACAATTTTCTTTAATAAATTTGGACAAGCACTTAATTAATTTGGGAGAAAAATTTGTTAGGAGGGAGTGGAAGTTGATTGGTCCATAGGTCAAAATCTGTTTGAAATTACGACTGTCAGTGTCAAGCGACTGACGTCACTGTTGCCAGAAATAAAAAGTTTTGCGGCAATGTTGCGTCACTCACCTCACCCCTTACTTAGGCAGCATGCAATCGTCAAATGACGCATCGCGTCGACGACTGACAGTCGTGGACACGGTTTTGATTGTTGCTTTGCTACGTAAGATGCGAGCATTCGTCTTGTAATCGTCATGCAATCGTCAATTAACGAAAGCAAACTTATGACGTGCAGTTACGTGGACAATGAGTCTAAGGCCTATTATTTGGGCTCGCTGTCATTGCAGCGGTAAGTCCCATCTTTCAGGAGTGGCTTGAGAGACGCTGCGGCGTCGTCACCTACTACCTGACGCAGGTGCTTACCGGACACGAAAGTTTCAGTAGGTTTCTGTTTCTGAATGGGCGGAAGGAAACGCCCAACAGCGAGGATCGTCCGGAGGACACGATGGTGCATACGGTGGCGTTATGCCCTGTGTGGTCTGAGCACCTTCGTATCCTCAGGGAAGGAACCTCCTCACGCCCCAACCTTCGCGAAAGAAACTCCGGCCGTCGGAGATCGCGCGACGATCTCCGACCACCGTAAGTGGGGGTATGCCGACGGTGAGCAAGGGTAACCCGCCGTCCGATCAGAACCAGGCCCGTGAAGAGCCGTCATAGAGCCATCAGACCACCACAGATGGGGTCAATAGGGCCGATGCCGATTCGGAGTCGCGGAGAACCTAACGGGTAACCGGGGCTCCGGCTCGACGTGCAGGAGAAGGAACGGGGTGGTTTTTAGTCAGTAAGAGTCTGACACTCCCTCCCGCCTCACCCAGGCGGGAGCAGTTATTCGATGATATTCCCCCTTAAAAAAAAATGCCCGATACGGAGGCGCGGAAGGCCTAACGGGTTGCTGGAGCTCCGGCTCGAAGAGTAGTAATAGGAAGGAACGGGATGGTGTTAGTCAATAAGAGTCTGACACTCCCACTCGCCTTACTCAAGGCGGGAGAGGTCATTATACGATTTTCCCTGCTCAAAAAGGCCTATTATTATACAAAATATTAATATTATTTTGTACTTATTATTCTAGTCCATTTGTTTGTTTATAAATCATGTTTCATATCCTATCCTGTATGAAACATAAGCTGAAATTCTTTTCAATAGCGTCAGTTATTAGTACAACATTAATATAACAACCGCAAACACATAGTAAAATAACGGAAAGTGCCAAAAGAGTCATCATAAAATTGTTATAGTAATGCACGCACAAGCCTTGCTCTTCAAAACGAGACCTCGTCTCAGTGCCGCGATAATATTAGTGTTATTCTATAAAAGTGTCCGTTTTGTAATTGAATGGACTACTTTTTATCATTACTGTAACTGGGGAGACGTGCTACCATCGGCTGAAGATCCGACATTTGTTCCTAAAGGGAAATCTATCTTCTTTCACGAGACTTCACGTCGTGGCGTACTTACTGTTCGAGAGGCTTGTTCCGTGGAGGCAGCCGCCAGGGCGCACCCACAATGGCAGGTCTATGTGCTCTTCAGCTCACCCGTCACCAGCCACGCACTCAAAACCACCTGCCTCAAATATCTACAAGAGCTCCCCAATATACAATTTCTACAGTTACACGTAGCCGAGTACTCAAAAGGAAGTGTTGTCCAGTCAATATTGCTTAATGATGTAAAACACAGTAAATATCCAGTACAACATACTGCCGATATACTCAGGATTTTGACCCTTAACAAGTGGGGCGGGTTATATCTAGATACTGACATTATAGTCACCCGGTCACTAGAACAACTTCCTCTAAATTTCATTGCAGAGGAAAACTATGGTGACGTCGCATCAGGCGTTATGTCTTTTGCAAACGATGATATCGGTAAAAAAGTTACACGTGAAGTATTGAAGTAAGGTTTTGTTTTGTTTCATTCATTTAATGTACTTAAGTGTTACCAAGTATTGTTTATTACCACTAGGGCAAAGACTGTTAAAGCTAAACAGATTGAGTTACACTGTAAATAGATATTACTACATAGGTATACCCACGTTAAGGTCGGAAAGAATTTAATTTTCACCAGTCATTTAAATTAGGAAGTGGATTTCAAATTTATTTCCTTTTGTTATTAGAGATATCAGTAAAAACTACAATCCAACAAGTTGGTCGGTTAATGGCGCGGACACAATAGAAGATGTACTGCGGAGATTATGCCCAAAATTGAACATGTCCAAAAGAATACCTGTAAAAGACTGTAAAGGTAAGTTTTAATATTAATCGCTTGAATGCACCGATATGAGACACAATAGAAAATACATTGTGTCTTGCATGGATCCACGTTTAGACTCAAGATGTCTTATCCCGTCTTATCTTGTCTTAAGCCGTATTATCCCAAAGGCATATAGGCAAGTGCCAAGGGCTCCAGGGGACCAAGAGTAACGTGATGCCGCGAGACGCGCGTGGTCATATAGTGGTGGCGGCGCCAAAAAATGTAGGGACACCTATGAGGGGCTTGCGTAGGGCGCTCTCTAGGTTTAATTGACCTCTGTAAATAATTGTACCTATGTAACTCTGTATATGAGTTCAGCTTCACTATGAAGCGAACCTACTAAGTACACTAGATTCACTCGAATAGTATAATGTTCAGGGACGGTAGATGAGAGATTGTACCTTAATGTTTTGCATAAAAGTTGAAAACCTATTAACAATGATTACTGGCGGGCGTCGGTACTTATCTACCTTCTTTCTTCTGGTAAAGACTATGCTCCCGCAAATCTACATGAAGGACGAAAAACTAGCGCGACTTACTCGCAAAACATTTACCATTTTATCCCACCCAGGCAAAAGGACTCCACGAGGACCTTCTACTACAAAATAAATAAAGACTTCTTAAATATTTTAAATCTTGTTTTCAGGTGTCAAGATATTCGATTTCGAGCTTTTCTACCCTCACTATTACTTGGAACTCGACGAGATATTTCAGCCCCCTTCAGAAAGATTTGACTTACATCGTCCATACACGTATCATATGTGGAACTTCTTGAGCCACAACATGACCATATATAAGGGTACCGTGTACCAGATCCTGGCTAAAACTTTCTGTCCGACTATTTATGACACCTACCGCCATGAGTTTTATGCTGATACAGTGAAAGTAGAAGAAAAAGAAATCAAAAACTAAGTTGTAAATGGTTTAATTTTATTTTATAGTAGTTTAATTGTTTTATTTTAAGTATGTAGTTTTATTTATTTATTTATTGAATACCTTGTGGTATGTGGTGGCAAAATAATCGATCTCTATTATTGTCAAGAGTGGAATGTATAATATTTTGCTATACAGGGATTATTTTTTTCCAATAGTCTTTCCGAGTCTAATTGTAGTTTCTGTTCCTACTATCCCGAAAGCATATAAAAAATTGATATTTTGTGTATCCAGTTTGCTATTCTAAGAGAATATTACCACCGTCGTACACCAACTAACACAATTTTGGTATACTAGGCATCCACGGTCTATTTTGTAATTACGAATCACTTTACAGTAGTCAAACTAGGCGATTTTCACAGCCTGTAATTCATTTTATGACTTTTTATAACATATTTACCTAAAAACATTTTGGATTATTCTAATTTTCTTAAACTTACGGTATCTCACCGGTACCAGATGTACCGCTTATTCCAAACCTAGAGCAATGCTGAGGAACGTTTCCAATGCCTACACTCATCATTTATGGAACAAAATGACTTCCAATAAGACAATAGAAAAGGATTCTCCATATGATGAGATGGCTCAGAGACTTTGTCCCCTAATTTATGACATACATTTTTTTTAAGGGTAAATTCATCGGATGAATTTTCTCCCTCCCGCCTGGGTGAGGCGGAAAGGAGTGTCACTCTTACTGACTAAAAACCACCCCGTTCCTACTTCTGCCCTTTGAGCCGGAGCCCCGGCAACCTCCGCGGCTCCGTATCAGACATCCGTCGCAGCCCTACTGGGCCTCATCTGTGGTAGTCTGATAACTTTTTGTGTGCTATCTACACATAATTTGGGATGTAATGGACAAAACGTTCTTTCTCTGTATCACTTCTAGTATTTTTTTGGAATTCAAAATTACAAATTAATTGAAAAAAAAAACGCTTGTGAGTCAATAACCACGCGGAAACTTTAATATTATGTCCGTTTTTTATAATGGAACAGATGAACTGTATTAACTAAGGAAACTGTTTTTAAATTATTGTTACAATCAAGGACGTTGAAAATAGGCGGACGTCGTCGTAGTCTCTTGAAAGAAGCTGTTGTCGTTTCAAGAGACGTTGAAAAAGGTTGCTTCTGTTGAGAAGCAACTTTTTTCAATGGTCTTGTTTACAATCTGTCTGTATTGAAGTCGAAGTCAATTGAAGTAGACAACTAAACTATTATCTTTATGGTGATAAAGTGTTCGTTTAAAATATTCGGTTTTGCTTGCTTTAAGTAGGTACTGTAACAAATGTATAACTCTAAAAAATTAATCAGAAAAATAACTCACAAATTGTACTCACTAAAGACACGGAGAAAAATATGTTATTTACGAAAAAATGTAATCTTTTCAATTATTTTTATTGGTGTCATTTACCATGTCAAGTTGAGAGATGTATTACTTGAGCAACGATACTTTAAGCATTTTGGATTTCGATCTAATTTAAACAATTCAGAACTTTTGGCGTGTTATTATAGTAATGAAGGGGATGTGCTTCCATGGGCTGATGGTCCCAACTTTGCGCCAAAGCTCAACTCGATATTCTTCCACGAAACATCATGTCGTGGAGGCTTAAACTCTCGTCAAGCGTGCTCCATCGAGTCTGCGGCGAGGGCACATCCAACGAGACAAATTTACGTTCTGTTCAGTGGACCCATCATTGAGGTGGTGTATCAGAAAAGCTGCATAGCTAAATTACGGCTCCTACCAAACGTACATTTTGCTAGAGTGCACATAGAGGAATATGCAAAGAACACCCCTTTGGACGGCTTAGTAGCAAGTAGGGAGTTAGAAGAGAGCTATTGGCCCGTAGAACACGCTTCAGATGTTTTTAGATTTTTGACTCTGTACAATTGGGGGGGAGTGTATCTGGACACAGACGTTATGGTACTGAAATCTCTGACACCGCTCGGTCACAATTGGGTAGCGAAGGAAATAAGTTGGCACGCGAGTGTGGGAGTTATTGCTAGTTCCATGGACCACATCGGCAGACGACTCGCGCAGGCTCTTGTAAAGTAAGTATTGCCATAGTTTTAATTAGATTGGTTTTATATTTCTGGCTATAAGTATAATATTATATTAAACCAATACCGAAACACTAGAGGCGTTACTTTGGGGATTAGAAATTTGAAGATTGTTGGGGATTCAAGGATCGGGGAAGGGAGTAATAGGGCCTCGGTAACCTCACTCACATGACGAAACATAACGCAAGCGTTGTTTCACGTCTGTTTTTTGTAAGGCCGTTGTATTACTCCGGTCGAGCCGGCCCATTCGTGCCGAAGCATGGCTCGTATTAACAACGTCAATATACATTTTTAGTGAACTGAAAACGACGTTTAAACCTGATGTTTTCAATAATAATGGTCCAGGCGTGATGACGAGAGTACTACACCGCTTGTGCAATACATCCGATCCGACCGAATGGTCTGCTAAAACATGTCAAGGTAAATCTATGCATTCATAAATAAGGTCTCTAAACCTATGCCCATAAACGCCTTTGAATTAAAAATTACATCATTTTAAGTAGGTAATCAGTACTGCTATTATGAGTCGTGGATGCGAATTATGATATCTTCGGACCTTCGAGAAAAGAGCGTACCTATCCTTAACCTTTTGAATGCACCGATATAATGTCTTATATCGGTGCATTACCGTGTATCTAGCGTGGGTCCACGTCTTTGACACACGAAAGGTTACTTGTACTTGTGACTTCTCTGGTGTTGCGAATGTCCATAGGCGACGGCGACGCTGATCACATACTATCAGGTGATTCGTCTATTATTATTATTTACAGGTGTCGAAGTGTATGGTCCAGAATACTTTTACCCAGTCCATTATACCAGAGCTAACGATTATTTCAAATCTGGAAAATTGCAGAACGTTTCCGATGCCTACGCTCATCATTTATGGAACAAAATGACTTCCAATAAGACAATAGAAAAGGATTCTCCATATGATGAGATGGCTCAGAGACTTTGCCCTCTAATTTATGAGATGTATGGAGATGAATTTGGGACATAAAAAGGTCAAACTATACTTTAAAAGCATGACGATTTTGTTTGGTAATACTTAAAGCCACGTAAATATGGCGGATGTACTTGTAATTTCGTAAGTTTCGTTCCAAAGAAAGTACAATTTTTCTTTTTACTATCTCGCGTGGCTCTGCGCTTAGGCACACGACGGGTTAAAGCTAAGTAGGTAGGTACTATATAGTACATTTCTTGGTGTCTGGTATTGTGTTTTTCGTTATCATACACCCGCCATTTTGCTTGATAACTTTTTTTATAGGATCAAGGTGAAAATAGCACACAAACAAATAATTAACAATGTATAATTTTATTATTTAATCACTCAATAACTTAATTAGGTAATTAATTTTACAGGATAATTGAATAATAAGTTCCTATCTTAAAATAGTATACAGGGTGTAAACGGAATGCTCCAGAAACGCTGACAAAAATAAATTGTTTTTAAATAATAGCATTTGTTTTCATGTTATTCATGCAACATCAGCCTTGAGCAGTTAATTACAATTGTTATTACATAAAAGAAACATTAAATTCCATACTTTTTTGAAATTAAAACTTATTTTCAACATTTAGCGTTTTTGGGGAGTATTCCGTTTGCAACCTGTATAGGAGGCATTATAGCCGAAGTGTCATGGCGACCAGCACTTTAAAAAAAAAACTTTTTTTAATAAGTTGGTGGTGCTAGTGATGTTGGGTATTTATTAGTCTTATGCCGAAAATATATCTGCGTGGACTTGTATGTCGTGGCGTGTCGCGTGGGTCGCCAAACGCTTGTAGCCGAGGGGTTATTGCGCCACGCCAGACATATTCTGTACACAAAACACCCTCTAATGGCGTGAAAAGTTTCTTTAATAATTTAGACTATCGAGTGGAGACTTGAAAAATCATTTCTTTTTTAACTCTAACTGCCATGACACGGCGGCAACAAGCCTCAATGTATTCAGAAATGACACATTACATAACTTAAATGCAAAAACTAATAAATATAATATTAATTGTATATCGTCAGTTTTTTATTTAACTCTCATCATCGCAGTTGCCCCTTTAAAATAAATCATTATTCTACATTCGAATAGTTTTATTCTACTGCAATACGGAACAGGAAAAAAATATGGTTATCCTACGACACATCTTTCTACGACATTCGTATGTTTTATTTGGACCAAAGTTGAGCATGGAGAAGTTAAGAATTACATGAAATTTGTACTGTGCTAATGGCTATAAACAAATTGAAGATTTTCGCAATTCTACAGACTATTATTAAACTAAATGGCTTGGAATGACTTCTAAACTGTAGGTAGACAAGATTACGACACAATAAATAAATATTTCGAATAATCTAATAGTAAAATAACAATCGTTAATCGTAACGCTTTAATTAGACACTACGGTTTACATTTACTCGACTAATTTCAAGCTACGATGGGGGCCCATAATCATGACCAGCATGCGCGATGTTGCTTCGTCACTCGTTACGGAAACTGTAGTGTCTAATTAATTTAATCAAATAGTATGTGCTTGGTATGAATTTACGCAATAAGAATAGTTCATAAATTGTTTTTCTAGGTCTGAATGTGATGTATGAAAAATCTGAAGTCCCGACAGAACATAAAAGTAAATTCGACCACGTATATTATTAATTAAAATCTTAATTATACATGCACATATTATTTAAGAATAAGTCAAATAAATTGTGATAATTATTATTTATTTTTTGTGAATTGGCATGATTCATGTTAAATTATTGTATATTAGACACTGTTTAGACGTCGATAGATCTTTCAGTATGCGAGAGTACTAAGAAACGATTTCCTGAAATTATTGTGATATTTATGCGCAAAGTCGAGGGCAAAAGCTAGTCATATTATTATATCAGACTAGCTCAAGAAGTTACAGACATTATTTGTACTATGTACTGGCTTCGCGACTAAAGGCTTTAGATGAAACTGTGTAATAGCGAAATAAACATCGATATTGCTTATTATATTACTTTATCTACCTAACTTTGTAAGTACCTTAACAATTAAATGCGTAACATTCTTTAGTGGCCAATATTGAATTCGTTTAGAAGTTTACAAGCAAATTAAAATAGTACAGATTGAAAAAAATCACATGTCAACTAATAAAGATATCCGATCAAATTAATGTTTTTTTTTGTGAAATTTTAAACTAAATACCATTTTATGACATCATATTGCATTATATAATTAAAGAATAAAATGGAAATTGATTAAATAACTAAATAATAATTGATTAATTTGATAATTTTTGACGTGAGAAACATCAATATTGTACCACCATTTTAGCATCACAAACGCCATCTAATGACTGACACTAAGCACTAGATGACGACATAATTCCAGCACCTTCTAACCGACAACAGGGATGATGGCAGGTAATAATAATTAAAAGTCTAATTAATTCGCCAGTTAAATAATGAAAAAATATTAGACACGCTTTTTTTTTATTCAGCCGTATAAGAAAACAATACTTACTTAAATAATACAAATCAAACAGACAAAAGTGATGTCACGCGACGTTCAAATCAATAATTGTCACAAGCTTTTGATTCCGTAAGAAATGAAAGGATACGTGCCTGATGTTTTACATTCATCTAGCAGACGGATATTAATAAGAATTTTGGTCATCACCCCTACAAAGTAACGTCGAAAGTAAGTCTTAAAGTTACATAATGCTATTTAAACATCTGTACACTTCTTTAACTTACTAATATTGCCATTATTTTCATCCTAAGATCAGCTACTGGACCATAAATTACATTATACATTATTTAAAATAGTTACCAAACCTAATTTACAGCTTAGGCAACCGATTATAAGACTAGTGAATAATTATTTTCAGCGCCATCTATCGGTAGAACGTATCTTCAATGTGCCTCGCAGCAGTTGCAATAAAGCAGTTCCCATTTTCTCATTACTTGAGTCAAAGTCTAAAATCAGTTGTCTAGACTGTAAATGTGATTTGATAAACCTGTCTAATGTTAAGACGTATAGTCGATAGTAACTTTATGTATTTTCTAATTCCAACTCTACGGCGTCGAAACAGGTTTAAAAATAATTCATCACTGACGCATTTAATATTAGATTCTTCGGTAGATCAGGCCAATAAAATATGACACGTATTTTGAAAATCTGCTGTCAGACGCGATCTCAGTCTTACATATTTTTAAACAGAATTACACTGACCACAGATTTAAATATCGGCCAAGATGTTACGGCTTCTGTTGTCCTAGTACTTCTAAGCTTTAAGTCATGCTTCTATAACTCTATTGCGTCTCAAAATACATGGCGTCCGGGCTAAATGGTGATTAAGCGCTAGTCGACTGAGAGAATAGGAAATTGTATAAGATAGACATTGACTTACGTCAATTCTAGCGACCCGCCCCGGCTTCGCACGAGTGCAATATGCATGTGTTATACATATTGTTAGGAGTTGAGGGATAACAGTTTTTAAGAACCTATAAAAGCAAGCTTCACACCATTGTCAGGCTCATTTTGTCGGGTGTCGTTGCGGCGGTTACATCGCTCAAGGATCGTGAGACTTATATTTTTCTAATTTTTGTACTTTCTTGTTATTTCTTGATTATTTATGTGCTAATTTAATGTGTGGTGATTTGCGGTAGATAAGGCTATTTTCGTGATTGTTATTTTGTTCCTTAATTAAAATTAAAGAGTTGTATCATTTTGATTGTGTGTTGCGTTGTTTTTTTTTTAAATATCCAGACTTCTGATTCCTAAAATCAGAAGTGGGATAAAGAACAGCTTTAATTGCCCACTAAATTACTAGTAAAAACATAGAAGGAACAAAATATCAAAATATTTTTCTACCCGCAATTTTTACTTTTGGTTTTCTTTTATCATTGTTGATATCTTATGTGTGTGATTGTGATTTAACTTCAAATCATTGTGCCTATCATGCCAAGAAGCCATGAACATCGTCGTTCACGAGGCCGATCTCAACGCGTTTCGCGAGACAAGTCCACTGGCAGTGAAACCGAATGTAGGTCGCGCCGTAAATCACGACGGAACCGCCGTCGGGAACGTAACGACTCCGAGGAAAGCTCGTATTATCGCCACCACGAGGCTCGCGGCCGCCGCCGTTCTAGATCTCGATCTCCACATACACCCCCTCGTGCAAGGTATCCTTCAGTGACTCCACGTACCAATAACTTGTTACAAGACACTCTAAGTAATATTATGACAAGGCTTGATGCCATCGAGCATAACGGTGTAAACGCGAGGTCCACGCCTAAAAATTTGCCAAATTCTCGCACTGAAGGAAACCTGCAGGACACGATTCGTGAAGCCGCTTCGCGTTCGCGTAGTCCCGTCGACTTGAGCGATGTTCCGCAACGGGTTCGCGTTAATAATTCCGAGGGCTCCTCAACGACAGTTCATGCGGACAACCCAAGCGCTTGCGGATCCGAAGCCGTGTCCACCGTAACCATGCTCGCGGAAGCTTTGAGATCTTTACAGCCTACTAGGTCGCACAACTATTACGTATCAAATTTCGATCCGAACATACACGATATTGATGCATGGTGCGAGGAAGTGGACCGAGCAGCGGTCGCGAACGGTTGGAGGGACCATGAATGTTTGTCGCGAGTGGCTTCCTGCCTTAGGGGCGGCGCTGAGGTTTGGCTCGGTGAATGGGTCGCCGGTGGCCGAACGTGGTCGGGTTTTGGGCTTGAGTTTGGGCCCCTTTGTCCCCGGGGGTTGGATTGCGCAAATGTTTTGTTCGAGGCAGTGAGCGCGACATCCGACAGATGCACGGCGTATGCGGGGTGTGCTCGCCGTGCCTTGTTGCGCTTGGGGATGGTCGGGGGTCTTGGCGATGGGTTGCGAACTCTAATCGTCGTGCGCGGTATTGATGGCCCACAGGTTGGAGCGGCCGCGGCGGGCGCGGGCCTGGCGGCTGAAGATTTGGTCTCGTTCCTTTCAATTTGCGTGGGGCCGAATCGCGCTGAACCTGGTTCTCGTGGTGCCGCAACAGGTGGGCATTCGTCTTCGGGCTCATCCGCTGGGCGCGGACCCGGGTGTTGCATGTGCAACCGGCGTGGACGTTTGGGTCGCAATTGTGCCAAAGGGACTCGCGAGGGGCCCAGTGATGGGTCCACCATGGAATCCGGGACGCGGGGTCCTGTCAGCGATACCACTGCCGCTAACAAATCCGAGTTGCTGTGCTCGTTTTGTGGGAGGAGGGGGCGTGCGGAGGGGGGGTGCTTCGCTGGGAGCCGTTCGGAGCGGGGGAATCGGCGGGGTGTTGGCTTGTGCGCGGGTCACGCAAGTGGCAGGACGGATGTTGTGGCGGCCGTCGTCCGGGGCGTCCCCATGGACGCGCTTGTGGATGGTGGAGCCCGGAACGTGTCACTGATTTCTTCCGATGTTCTGGGGCGCCTTTCTTGCCGGGTTGGACCGGTGCACTGCGTTCTCAGGGGTGTGAGCGAGCGGGAAATCGTAGCTTCTTCGTTCATTACGGCAACTATCGAGCTTAGTGACATCTCTATAGAAACTGACCTAGTTGTAGTGCCAAAGTCATGTATGAACACTCCCCTTATTATTGGAACAGACGTCCTTAACCGCGACGGCGTAACGTATGTACGCACTAAAGACAGACAGTACATCACTCGAACTAGCGACACTCCTGCTTGCGTGAACGAAGTTCTGCGTCTTGACCAAACGTTAGTTAATACCCCTTTGCAAGGCGCTCTGCATGATTCCCTGATGTCCGTGATTAACAAATTTTCAAACTTTCTTATAACTGGTACCGCGACGAGTACAGTTACAACCGGTTACATGGAGATTAAGCTAACTAATACCACTCCTATCGTATATCGACCGTACAAGCTTTCTTATAACGAGAAACTTGTAGTACGCGAAATAATTAGAGATCTGTTGGACAAAGACATCATCAGGGAATCACGATCAGAGTATGCCAGCCCCATAATACTAGTGAAGAAGAAGGACGGGTCCGACCGAATGTGCGTCGATTATAGGGCACTTAATCGTATCACCGAAAAGGAAAGATATCCTCTTCCCCTTATAGACGACCACATTGATCGGTTGGGTCGCTACACCTTCTTCAGCAGTTTAGACATGGCTACTGGTTTTCACCAGATTCGAATCAAAGAGAGCTCCGTTCACGTGACGGGATTCGTCACACCAGAAGGACATTACGAATTCCTGAAAATGCCATATGGTTTGACGAACTCCCCGATCGTATACCAACGGATAATAAATCAAACCCTTCGCGAATTCATCGATGCCGGAAACGCGCTAGTATATCGATGACGTCCTCTTGCTAAGTAACACCGCAGAGGATGGCATCGCTTTGCTCGAGAGAGTTCTAGAAACACTCACTAAGTCAGGCTTTTCGATAAACTTAAAGAAATGCTCTTTCTTGACAACCGAAGTCGAATACTTGGGCAGGTCGATAAGTTTTGGTCAGGTACGACCGAGCCTTAGGAAAATAGTGGCATTAAAAAACTCCCCAGCTCCTAAAAATGTAAGGCAGGTTCGACAATTATTAGGTCTGGCAGGATACTTTCGCAAATATATTAAAAACTACGCAACCAAGACCGCGTGCATCGCCCATTTAACCCGAAAGGGGGTAGATTTCCACTGGGGTCAGGAACAGGAACAAGTTCGGCAAGATTTAATACAATGCTTGACTAGTGAGCCTGTCCTCACCATTTTCAACCCTGAACTTGACACCGAAGTTCATACAGACGCGAGCTCCGCCGGTTATGGGGCAGTACTTTTACAAACTGACACTGATGGTGGAAGGCATGTGGTGGCGTACTTCAGTAAGGTTACCCAAGGAGCAGAGAGCAAATACCATAGCTACGAATTGGAGACGTTAGCGGTTGTGAAGGCCTTGCAGCACTTTCGCCATTATTTGGTGGGGTTGCAATTCAAGGTCGTCACAGACTGCAACGCTCTCAAGTCTACAGAACGGAAAAAAGATCTGCTTCCTCGCGTAGCTCGATGGTGGATTTACCTCCAAGATTTTAATTTTTCTCTCGAGTACAGAAAAGGAGTTATGCTTCCACATGCTGACTACCTTAGTAGAAACCCAGTCACCACCATAAATCAAATAACGAGACCTCGTAACTGGGCGCAAATAGCGCAAAACGCGGATCATGAAACTAAAGACCTCATACAAAAACTCTCAGAGGGTCAGCTCGACTCTAGTCGTTATGTTCTGAAAAATGACCTATTGCATTACAAATACACGCCAGTTGGGGAGGAAGCACGTCTTCTTTGTTTTATACCCAAGGGCCATCGACTCAGTCTCTTACGAATTTTTCACGATGAGCACGAGCACATTGGTGCTGATAAAACTCTACATCTCATTCTAAAACATTTCTGGTTCCCCGGGCTCCGTCAGTTTGTGTCTAAATACGTCTCCCATTGTTTAGTATGTATTTCTAAAAAGCGAGTGCCCCGGGCACCACTGCAGAATATCTCATCCTGGTCAAAACCCGAAACCCCTTTCGATACCGTTCATGTCGATGCCCTGGGACCACTGCCAGAGTCGGAAGGTTACAAATTTATCTTAATACTAGTTGATGCTTTTACAAAGTATTGTATGTTGTACCCTATCTACCGCCAAGACACCAGCGAGTTGAAACGCGTCATGTCTCAGGCCGTTTCTTTGTTTGGAGTTCCCAGACTGTTAGTTACTGACAGGGGTAGGATGTTTGAGTCTACGGACTTCGTGCAGTGGATATCCGAACTTGGTTCAGACCTGCACTACATAACTCCTGAAATGCACGGCGCGAACGGACAAGTTGAACGGTATATAAGAACCGTTCTCAACATGCTTCGAATCGAAGTGGGACATAGGAACGCCTCCTGGTCGACAACACTTTGGAAGTTACAACTGGTGCTAAATATCAGCAAACAGAAAACCACTCAATCCTCAGCCATAAATTTAATGATTGGTACGGACGCCTCTACTCCAGCTATACGATCGCTGATACGGGATCTAGCTACGAGTACTCCAGATACCAACAGAGAAGCTCTGCGGGAGATGCGTCGAAGTCGCGCTAGCGAACTGATGAAAAAGAACCAAGAACAGCAAGATGCTTCAGCCAACCAGTTTAGACGTCCACCGCGTGAATACAAGGTGGATGATCTGGTTTTTGTAATAAAGTACTCGCAATCAACGGGTAAATTAGACCCTGGGATGCGAGGACCATATAGAGTGACCAAAGTCTTGCCTAATGGGCGCTACGAACTTAAACTTCTCAGTGGAAGCTGCGGGAAAACCACTCAAGCAGCCTCCCAATACATGGTGCCTTGGAAAGGAGAATGGTGCCCAGAAAGTTGTGCCGCTTTCTTTGAAAGTGAGTATGATGAACTTATTCTGTTTTTGGTTTCAGAATTGTTAGTCCCTATGGCGTTAGTCGCCCTACGATGGGACTTCTCTCCACCAATGGCGTTGGTCGCCCAACGTACGGGTTAGTCCCAATGGCGTTAGTCGCCAGACATACGGGTTAGTCCCAACGGCGTTAGTCGCCAAGCATACGGGTTAGTCCCACCGGGTTAGTCCCACCGGGTTAGTCCCACCGGGTTAGTCCCACCGGGTCAGTCCCAATGGCGTTAGTCGCCCAACAATGGGATGTGTTCCCCATCAACGGTGTTAATCACATGAGGACGGACTCCCCAAGGGCGGGTGTCACCTAACCATGGGATACGCCCCACTGCGAAGGCGTGTGTCGCACAACGTCGGTGATTGTCACCCATGTAGCGTTACCCGCCGTGGTAATGTATAAGGCAATGATATAAGATGGTTGGGACGCCTACTATCTTATATTGTTAGCTATTTTCCTATTAATGCAATTGCTTGATCTGTATACTTGTGCTATTTGTGTGAATAACCATCGCTAACTCTTTCAGATGACGATACTGATGAGGCTGAAAATAGATCAGATCACTTGGAAAGCGACAACCCAGCGCCAGTTTCGATTGGGTTATCCATGCCGAGCTTAGATGAAGAGATGGGAACAGCACGGCATCCCACTGCAGGTGCATCCCAAGAAGTTCAAGTCGAGGACGACTTGCTGTCAGGAGAGGCCGTGTTAGAGTTGAGGATAACAGTTTTTAAGAACCTATAAAAGCAAGCTTCACACCATTGTCAGGCTCATTTTGTCGGGTGTCGTTGCGGCGGTTACATCGCTCAAGGATCGTGAGACTTATATTTTTCTAATTTTTGTACTTTCTTGTTATTTCTTGATTATTTATGTGCTAATTTAATGTGTGGTGATTTGCGGTAGATAAGGCTATTTTCGTGATTGTTATTTTGTTCCTTAATTAAAATTAAAGAGTTGTATCATTTTGATTGTGTGTTGCGTTGTTTTTTTTTTAAATATCCAGACTTCTGATTCCTAAAAATATATATAAACCGTCCTTAAGAATGACTCTATCTATTAAAAAAAACCGCATCAAAATCTGTTGCGTAGTATTAAAAATCTAAGTATACATAGGAACAGACAGATGGCGGATAGCGACCTTGTTTTATACTATGTAGTGATTTACGCTAAACTAAGACTTTTTTATTCTGTCAGTCGACAGTCGCTAAAATTCCACTTCGCTTACAGCACCGACTCCAATTTCGAATTCACTCTATTTATTGACATATTCTGAATCGACGTATCACTAATAACTAAGGCTTTATACACGCTTGTAACATTGGCCTTATAATATAAACTTTTTACACTAATATCTATTGCTAACTAGCTGACCCCGCGAACATTTTATTGCCATAAAATTGAACTAATGTGTCGTGATATCTAATGTCACTCATAAAACAGGGGGTTTAGTACGAGTTTAAGTTTTATGTTATCGAAACGAGACCGCGTTCCGCGCTCTGATTGGCCGGTTCTAATGAACTAACCAATCAGAGCGCCCAACGCGGTTTCGATTATTCTAAAAATAAAACAAACTCATATTAAGCCCTCCATTTGTATGGGAAATTATAATTGATGCTTCTACTATTTCCCTTGAAAACTCTTCACATATTATCACCCTATCTTTTTTCTACCTTTCCTGGACTGCTATAAATATTAAAATTTAAACTCCAAATTATTGAAATCAGTCGCGATACTTTTAATTTATAATATTTAAAATATTTCACACAGTAATTTTGATATTCAATATTAGCTGAATGAACACTTTTTGGCTACAGCCGACGATGTCTAATACTCTTTGCCTTTACAGAGCGGCTTCCCGTGACTCTGCAACACCTCTACAATAATACAAACATTTGTGTTTTTTGAGATCTGCAGCAATTTACAATACAAATAAACTAGTAAATACAAATTATATAATAGTATTTTAATTAAATACGCAATCTTTGGTATCGTCAGTTTGACTGACTTCGAATAGTTAGTAGGTTAGATTGCAGTTTCCTCATCTGCTTGCAGACCAATCTTGCAAGCATTTGGACATTGGTCGAATAGTTTGGCCAACATTTTATGTACAAACTTGCATAGCCATTATGTTGGGCACGCGACGACATTGTTGCGCCAAGGCATTGGTCGGGTACTTTGGCCAACATTGTATATACAAACTTGCGTAATCATAATGTTGGGCCAAGGTATGGACATACACTTAACTGATTACTAGCTACTCTTCTTCCTCAGCGGCTTGCGTTTGTCTCATCGGTGAGTGCGCGCGAGCAGGCTCTGAATTACTTTTGTTTTGTACGCGGCTGCAGAAGAAAATAATATAAATTAGAGTATTATTCATCATAGAAAATCCATCATAGCTTACTATGCGAGAGATGTTAAAAAGTATAAAGTATCTGCTACTTTTCTGCTTATTCATAATCTGATTCACACACTCTCAGACAAGCACTCTGATGGGACGAAAGACCAACTGATCTCGTGTTTTCTGAGGCACAGAGAAACAAATACCTATTAGGTAAACTCCTTTTAACTGTGGGCTAAGTATAGACCGGTAATTGGGTAAAGTGAGTGAGTGACTGAATGGGTGAGTGTGTGCATGAGATAGTGGCTGATTGAGTGAGTAAATAGGTGAGTGAGTGAGTGTGTCGTGTACCTGTAGAGGTCGGCGGTGGTCTGCAGCGTGCCGTGCGCGAGGTGGAGGCGGCGGCCGGGCGGGGGCGGCGGGGGCGGGGCCCACCACTGCACGACCCTGCCCACGACGGGCACGCGCCGCAGCAGCCCCTCCTGCCACAGCCGCTCCGCGTTCTCGCGCTCCAAGTCCGCCTGTGCTTCTTCGATACCTGACACGCAATATTACTTATTGTAGTAAATAGTTTCGACGATATATTCACGTAACAATGTGCTTATATGTTATAGTATATTATCTTCTGCCACAAGTTCGTACGCGCATTCCAGATTTCCAGGATTTTTGTTTCTTTCATAAGAACCGTCTCCTAACAGTAACAAACACAACAAGAAAAATCTGCCAAATCGCTCTAGCTGTTCTCAAGTTATAGCATGACAACGGGAAACGGGTTTCATTTTTATATATCTAGACTAGATGGTAAAACATTAGCAAGAGAAATAGTTTACAGGACTAGCACTAGTGGAGTATAATAATCAATACACTTATTATTGACTTCGATCATATTACCTTTCTTCAATACTTCAGTCATGTTGGTGAGTGCTCGGCTGCTCTCTTCTACTTCTTTACCAGCAGATATAACGAGGTCCAGTAACTCATCTACATCCGTGTCTTCCGTCACCATGCCGAACCTGTGGTTTATAAAATTGATGGTCTATTATTTTCACTTTGTATTAATTATTATAATATAACAATACATCACGCCTTTTATCCCCGAAGGGGTAGTGTTAATTATGACATTATATAAATAAGGTGTATTAATATTATGACAAAGCTAATAAGAGGATGTTACTATGGACGGATAGTATTCTGCGATGTCTTTCGACCTTTTGGACTTTTTATGGGATAGCAGGGCAAACCATAGACGGCGGCCTATGGACATTTAACACCAGAGGGGTTATAAGTTATAATGGCCAAATGACAATCCATCACATTAATTATTATAAAAACTATGTTTAAAAAAATTGACCTTCAACACCTTTTTTTAAACTCATTTAATTAGTATAGTAAACCCTATTCTTTAGTGTAGCAAACATTATTCTGAAAGCTGTACCATGATCGTGAGATAATGGCGCACAAATTATATAGATACAGGTCAAATTAAGAACCTCCTTTTTTGAAGTCGGTTAAAAAGTAATTTGTCGACCGTTTGAGTGTGTGGGGCATATATGTACAATGCAAACGATTTTCCAAATGGCCGTGGTACTCCGGTACATTCGTGTCTCGCATGGCTCTCACACGTTTAACGTGAATGTTGGACGTACAAACTGCTATCGTGACCGACCTGACGCAAGCCATCCCATCGTCCCCGTCCCCGCAGGAGAAGGCTCCGTCCGTGGCCCGCAGCGTGTCCACGAGTTGTCTGTTGAGAGAGTTCAGTTCCTCGGGCGCCGCCTCCTCCCAGCCTGGGGGAATGTAGCGGACTCCACCAAGACCTGCACAAAACATTTATTTATAAAGTAACTAACTTCTGCATGTGTCTTTGACTGCGTGAGAACAGTATCTTAATCAAAAATCAAGAAAATACAATAAATTAATTTTTACATTTCACATTAATTGTAAAAAAAAAAAATATAATTTGACTGGATAATGGGTAAAAGAATTTTAAACTCCTGGACAGATGTCGCCCTGACGTTGAAGACGACGTAGATATTTGACGAAATCTATTTCCCGTCAGTATGTATTGAAACTAAGTTCGGAATTTCTTAATCTTTCAAAGGGTTTAGTTATACGAGCAACAGTTCAGTTAACTGATCAATCCCCAAGCGGACCTTATTTCCGATGTTTAGAGACTACTTTTGTATGAACAAATTTTGGGGATTTTTTTTTATGGCATAAGCCGGTAAACGAGCAGACGGATCACCTGATGGTAAGCAATCGGCGTCGTCCATGGACACCTAGAACACCAGAGGCGTTACAAGTGCGTTACTGGCCTTTTGGGGATTAGGAGTTTGAGGATCGTTGGGGATTCGTTTCATGATCGTGTGTCCACACAGGTCATGTTGACATGTTTGGAACATATAGTTACATTTCTTTTTATATGCAATTTGACATTATTAGCATAATGTGATATTGTTTTTCATTTGAAAAATTTACAATTTTTTTTTTAAACTTGACATTTACCTCTATTTTTTACAATTGTTAGTGGTAGGACCGTGCGAGACTTTGCTTCGCCATTTCTTTTCTTATTTCTTACTCATACTCTGACAGTTTGAGTATTTGTGCGACCCACGCAAATGTTCTTTAGGTTGGTATTGTTCGTCGAGTCGAATCACTCAGCCTCATCTGTTAATTGAGCTGACTGTAAACCGACACATGCGTACTGCTTTCAGAGCGGGTCCGCTCAAACTGTTGTGGTTCTTTCCTCAAAAGGCCACTACAGAAAGAACTTGCACGGTTCTCACACTTAATCTTTTTATACATATTTGTCTGGACTTTAAAAGAGACAGACCTCTGAGTTTGTTTCGGCATTTCTTCTCAGAGTAGTCAGTTAGGAAATGTCGACCTCATCGTTCGCTTGATAAAATTGACGTGTAAAAGTGCGGCAGCACTTGCAATATTGTAGGCTACAAGGCATTGTAGCCTATTTGCAGAAATAAATTCACTTGTTTCACTTGTTTCAGGAATTGGGGAGATTAAGGAAGGGGAGGGTAATTGGGCCTCCGGTAACCTCACTCACACGACGAAACACAACGCAAGCGTTGCTTCACGTCTGTTTTCTGTGAGGCCGTGGTATCACTCCGGTCGAGCCAGCCCATTCGTGCCGAAGCATAGCTCTCCTACATTTATATCAAATCAAGTGATAAGAGCAGTAGACTTCTTACTCTTAGTCAATTGTTTTACAGCTGAAGTTGCGTTATTAGTCAGTACTCACCGGCCCAGCCGGGCACGTGTACGAGCGCCAGTGGGTGCCGCGCGCGCACGCGCTCGTGGAATGTGTCGCGCAGCGCCACGGTGGCCGCCAGCACCTGCAGCTGCAATATTGTAACTCACCGGCCCAGCCGGGCACGTGTACGAGCGCCAGTGGGTGCCGCGCGCGCACGCGCTCGTGGAATGTGTCGCGCAGCGCCACGGTGGCCGCCAGCACCTGCAGCTGCAATATTGTAACTCACCGGCCCAGCCGGGCACGTGTACGAGCGCCAGTGGGTGCCGCGCGCGCACGCGCTCGTGGAATGTGTCGCGCAGCGCCACGGTGGCCGCCAGCACCTGCAGCTGCAATATTGTAACTCACCGGCCCAGCCGGGCACGTGTACGAGCGCCAGTGGGTGCCGCGCGCGCACGCGCTCGTGGAATGTGTCGCGCAGCGCCACGGTGGCCGCCAGCACCTGCAGCTGCAATATTGTAACTCACCGGCCCAGCCGGGCACGTGTACGAGCGCCAGTGGGTGCCGCGCGCGCACGCGCTCGTGGAATGTGTCGCGCAGCGCCACGGTGGCCGCCAGCACCTGCAGCTGCAATATTGTAACTCACCGGCCCAGCCGGGCACGTGTACGAGCGCCAGTGGGTGCCGCGCGCGCACGCGCTCGTGGAATGTGTCGCGCAGCGCCACGGTGGCCGCCAGCACCTGCAGCTGCAATATTGTAACTCACCGGCCCAGCCGGGCACGTGTACGAGCGCCAGTGGGTGCCGCGCGCGCACGCGCTCGTGGAATGTGTCGCGCAGCGCCACGGTGGCCGCCAGCACCTGCAGCTGCAATATTGTAACTCACCGGCCCAGCCGGGCACGTGTACGAGCGCCAGTGGGTGCCGCGCGCGCACGCGCTCGTGGAATGTGTCGCGCAGCGCCACGGTGGCCGCCAGCACCTGCAGCTGCAATATTGTAACTCACCGGCCCAGCCGGGCACGTGTACGAGCGCCAGTGGGTGCCGCGCGCGCACGCGCTCGTGGAATGTGTCGCGCAGCGCCACGGTGGCCGCCAGCACCTGCAGCTGCAATATTGTAACTCACCGGCCCAGCCGGGCACGTGTACGAGCGCCAGTGGGTGCCGCGCGCGCACGCGCTCGTGGAATGTGTCGCGCAGCGCCACGGTGGCCGCCAGCACCTGCAGCTGCAATATTGTAACTCACCGGCCCAGCCGGGCACGTGTACGAGCGCCAGTGGGTGCCGCGCGCGCACGCGCTCGTGGAATGTGTCGCGCAGCGCCACGGTGGCCGCCAGCACCTGCAGCTGCGCCTCCAGCAGCGCGCCCCAGGCGCCCGCGCCGGCCGCGCCGCCCGCCGCGCCGTCCGCCGCGCCCGCGCCCTCCAGCGGGCAGTACCGCAGCACTACCCCGTGGGCTTCAGTCTCACATACTTCTATACTGATCTGGTAACATACAGAACATACAATTGTAGTGCTATTTTTGTTGTATTCGAGAATAAATGAATGCGTGCAGTATTGAATCACCACCGACGCCGTGACTGATGCTGACAAAAATTAGTGCCTGGCTTACAAGCTACTAGTGTTCTATGATCTACGTGAGCGACGAATACCACTTAATTACATATCTGTTTAATAAATTGAAGTCAATTTCGACTTAAGATTCCCTTCCAGACGCCTACGCAGCGTAGTCGCGGCGTCTGCGCGGCGCATACGTTTCTCGAACGCTCGCGTTAGACAAAAATTAGTGTGAAGAAACTTTAAACTAGTAATTCCATCATTCATTTTAATTAATCCACAAACACTTTTGACATGTTAAACTGGAATTGTCAATTAGTGAAGTTAAGCGCTTATTTTACTACTCTTATTTACGAGTACACAGTTTATAATGAATGTGTAAAATTCTTACCATGTCAGCCTCTCTCTGTAGCACTTGTCCAAGCCAAGAGTTGAGTTTGTCGTAATATGGCGGCGGTTTCTCCGTGCCTGGCGGCGCGAACTGAAACGCTACGCAAGCTGACGCGTGGCTTAGCGCTTCCTGTCAAACAACATGTTTATAATATATAATTCTTCTGTGAGTGCGTATGTCACTGAACTTCTCTCAAACGACTGGACCGATTTAGATGAAATTTTTGTGTGTGTGTTCAAGGGGATCTGGGAATGGTTTAGATTCACAAATCAGCCCGGCAGATGGCGCTGCAGTCGATGTTAAGGTTATTTATCCTAAACAGCTGAACTAATTTGAATGAATTTTTGTTTATACATTCAAGTGGATATGCAGGACAATGTCTGTTGGGTCCGCTAGACATATTTGTTAAATATTATTTGCCTGACTGCTTCGTTAGCAGAGTGGTCGCAAGTGTCACTGCCGGGCAAGGGGTCTCGGGTTCGATTCCCAGGTTGGGCAAAGTATAACTGGTTTTTTAAATATCAGTAGTGCCACGGAGTCGGAATCCCGGTATATGGCAATAGGCTATTACATGGGACACAACATAAATAGTAAAAAGTTGGTGTTACATTGTACAGTAGCATTAAGTGCCGTACTATGCACCTCTGCCTACCCCTTCAGGGATAAAAGGCGTGATGTTACGTTATAAATATAATTTAAAAATAACAATGTCACTTTGCTCAAAGTTTAAACTTACCACAATTCCTACATTTGGCGGTTCATCTCCACCGGGTCGTTCACTCTGTAAATTAAAATAGTTGAAATAAACTTGGTACATGAGTCAATTATTATCAAATGAAAATAATCTCAAATTGTTTTAAGATTAAAACCGTTAAGTCATTAGTTATATGTTTTAAGCTGAAACCTACTCTTGAGAACAACATTTATCTGCGAAAAATTACAAAAAATGCACTCAAAACTGCGAAACTTCTAACTAAAGTCTACAAGTTTTACGAGTTCTAGTATATTCTAGACAGATCTGAGCAAGGCTTTTACGAGACCAAAAAATGGGAAGAATGTTTGAAAATACATATAACAAAAACGTTCACATACCAGTAACCTAAGTCCTGCATTAGCCACGACTGCGTGCACTGCCCTGGCGGACCTGAAGGCGGCCGTGAGTCGTTGTTGTAACGTCCTCGCGCCGGCCGCGCGTATACACGTCCACAGAGGGAGCGCCGGGATACGCGCCCCGCCGCCCGTCAAACCTGCTAAAGCTGCTAAGGCCCCTTCTCTACTACCCGCCTGGAAAACAACAATAATTAATCATTAAAACTACCGCTTTTGTACAGTCAAAGGTCAAAAGTCCGTGAGTGATGTTCACCGTGAGTGTAATTTCATATTAATGTGCATAAAAACGCGTTCGTACGCGTTCGTAAACACACGCACGCGTACGCACACGGATAAAAATATGCGTGTGTGTGTGGGTATAAGCGCTACAGCGCAACCGATAGAAGTCTTACAGTGGCAGGGTATTTTTGATCTTTGACCGTACAAGCCATCATCAACAGCCTATGAGTGGCAACTGCTAACCAAAACCAGTATTAATCACCACGCTTGCTCAATGCGGGTTGGCAATTTCAAACCTAATAAGAAATTATATGACCAGGTTTCCTCACGATATTTTCCTTCACCGTTTATCAGTGGTGTCTTAATAATCTTAGAAGGTGTACATATTCTTGGAAAAAGTCACATTCGTACTTGTCGTTGGCAGGTTTCGAACACGCAGTCTCATGCATAAGAAGCAGGCATCTTAAACTTCCAGGCCATTAATTTTGTGATTGCTTTAGAAATTATTTTTATCAAAATGAATACCATACTTACAGCGCTTACTACTTTCGACTGGTCATTAGCTGTAATAGCTTCCGGTATTTTGTAAAACGTCTGAACAAAAGGAATTAAAGAAATTTTCACGATCAAAATATGATCTGTCAAATCAAATCAAAATATCAATAGTACATTATAGAAGTACCAGAAGAGCAGAACACTCAAGGAGGTATTTATTTACAACTTATTTGCTATACAAATACATTCAAATATAAAGTCTATCGTTGTATACATTGAGTTTATTTCAGATTATCTGTTTTATTGTAAAGGATACAACAGTTGGCAGTCCTGGAACACCGAACCATGGTCCAGGTGTGAGTGTCACCGAATCTGGTATACTGAAAGACTGAAAATAAACATCTTATAAATACACGAAACTAGTCCTTTCCATCATCGTACCACAAGACAATCCGCGAAGCGTCACCGATTCATGGTAGATGTTCCGCCCACACGCACGAAGCGCTTTGCTTCAAGCTTCCTTGTGCGTACTGCTAAAGAGTGGAATTCTTTGCCAGAGTCTGTATTTCCTGAAGGGTATAACCTGGGAGTCTTCAAGGCCCGAGTGAATAGGTTGCTTATGGGACGACGTGCTCCAACGTAGACCGCATCATCGCTTACCAACAGGTGAGATAGTGGTCAAACGTCGCCCCATCAATTATAAAAAAAAAAAAAAAAAAAAAAAACTTATATAGAATTGTAATAAAAAAATAAAAATACGTTTTTAAACAAGGGGCCTTAGCTACACTAGCGCCACTAAGATGAAAACACTTGAATTATTAGTAAGAGATAGGAGATTGTGTTTAGAGATATCATTGTCTCTCAGTAAGTGAATTATTCATATGATTCTTTATAAGAAATCAAGTTATTCTTCAGCTTTAGGGAGTAGATTATAAATAAATAAATATAAAATGAGATAAATATAACAAAATATTAAAGTTACTGACCTCATCTTTGGACGAGGCGCCCGGCAAAGCGAGCGCATGCCCTCTAACATGTAAGTGCAAGTTTCTTTGAGAGCATATTTCACCAAGTAATGCCAGTGGAGTCCCCCATCCTAGCGGTGGAGCTCCAACCTCTCCCAGCACTAAGAGTGGTGTTCTATTCGCGTTTATATCTTCATCGTATAGTTTTTCTAGAGCTTCTATGTCCATCCCTCGACCTGTGGATAAATAAGTTATTCATTGACTTGTAAACAAGCAAAAAATAAAAAATAAAACAATAAAAAAATAAAACAAGCAAGAATAAAAAATAAAACAAGCAAGAATAAAAAAAAGCAAGCAAGAATGAAAAAAAAAGTAAATTTTCTTTATATTTTTCTATTATTTTGTTTTTTTATTCTTTGTTTTATAAGTAGGACTTTTTTTCCTAAGAGAAAAACGTCAGCCCCAATTATAGGATTACTCTTTGTTTTTAGGTAAAACATATTAATTAGTGACAAAATTATAAAGTCTATTTTAGGATATATTATATTATGTTATAAATAAAGTACATTGATTTTTAATAATAACTATCGTAGGCTGTGCGACATCGCCGCAACCGCAAGTATTTTCACGTGAGTAACCCACGATTTTTAGTTAATGAAGTAGATTGGATTAATTCCTATTAAATTAACACGTTAAACGTAGCGTAATTCACTCGTGCTCTATCACAACTCGTGTATCACCCTTTGACAGTTTTCTGTCAGCAGTCAAATACTTAAAGTGTAGAGATGTTCGATAACTATCTAAGTTTTTTTTATATCACAAAAAACGTACACGGCCCACTTGTTGGTAGTGGTTACCGTGGCCTATCAACGCTTGCAACACATGGGACCTTACATGCGCCTTTTGACGACCTTCAATAAACCTATTTACTCCTTTCTTGAAGAACCCCATATTGAAGCCCAACAGGGTAACCTTGGAGTTCATTTCACAATCGGAGGGTCCGTGGGAGGAAATTCCTCTGAAACCGAACTGTACGGGACCATTTGGGCTTCAATGTGTGATAAGTATTTTAGATTTAACTATAAAGGAAAATACCGGATCTTATTGAAGACTTTTTAGTATTGCCGATGATGCAAGCTGTATTGTACTGTCACTAATTAACTGACGTCACTTGTTTGTAACGAAGTATATGTATTTACAAACAACATTCATTTCGCATGCGATAGTGATCTGCGTTTGTTTCGGTGTTTCTGCTCAAAGTAGCAGCTGTAGCCAAATGCCATTTACCGCTTGTCTACATGTAGAATAGAAAACTAAATTATATGAAATTGACGTAAATTTTGACACTTGTCAGTGTCATCCCCATACATTTTGATTTCTACTCTCTCTGTAGACAAGAGCAAAAGTGGCGTTTGGCTAAAGGCCCTGAGCAGTAAGATAGGAAATGCCGAACTCGACCATTTTTAACAGCGATTAAAGTTATTCGTCAATAACTACATAGTCATATTACGAAATACAATAGGGTAGACGACTAATTTTTATTTTAATGTCCGTCAGGTAGATTATTTAAAAACATTAGACACGTATTTTTTCTTTTCTCACAGAAACGAATAGTTTCGAAGATATATTGATTTGAAATGTCGCGTGACGTCACTTCTCAGTACATTTTATACTAAGAAATGACGTTTTAGCCCCCACTCCTAAACTTTGATTCGTTTTATCTAAGTATTGTTTTATTATACGACAAAATAAAAAAATACGTGTCTAATATTTTTTCATTACCTAACTTACGGACTAATTATATTTTTATTTTTCATACCCTGTCATCATCCCCATTAATACTATGAACATTTAAATCACTAGATCGATCTAGGTGTTTGACAGAAATTCAATGGAACTACACGACGCAGGAGAAAATCCTAGTGGGGCAACGTTAAAGAAAACGAATGAATGTCAACAATCGATCTCTCGTTTATTTATTTTGACCGGTATTTATCATCATCGTTAGGCTGTTAATTATGCCGCATTATGAGCATTTGCAGATAGGCATACAGGTCTTCATGGTCATGGTCTTACCGCAGCTGCTCTATATAAATCTAATTAGATTTAGGTGTTGCCTTGTTCTCACACAATCGAACCAATAAAACCGTATTGTAAACCCGATTGAAAAAGAGTAACCTATGGAGTTTCTTGCTCGTTCTTCTCCATAGGAATCCACACCTTGGAATGAGCAACTAGCTTCACTTCTAAATTTTTGTTGTTGACGTTCAAAAGTGGCCATCCTGGTCTAATTGAAATAAATGATTTTGACTTTGATTTTGAGCTAGGACAGCGGTACCGCGGCGGTGTAATGTGTAAACAGCCTTATAGTATAGGACAGAATCATAATGCAGATTATAAACTAAATTAAATAATGTTCTCCAGGTGTTCACACTCGTGCTTGGCGTATAGCCAATAGCTGTACACTTCGTTAGATCATATCTTGTCAAGGTTTACATTAACAGTTTCACCCAAGGTACTAAATTTTAAACAACCTTGAATTTGTATCGTTTTCTTACGAAACTATTTTAGTTTTTAGGTTTTGTAAAAATAATTCCTAAAATAGTATACAATCACACTACACTTTTTATTGAGGTTTATTCCGTGTGTGAACGTGATAAACTCAAAAATTGCCGGACGGATTTGTGTACGATTTTAAATAATGTGATTCCTGAGGAAGGTTTATAAGCAAAGCGTGTAACCATAAGGAGAATGCATCACGCCTTTCTTCCCCGAAGGGGTAGGCAGAGTTGCACATTATGGCACTTAATGCCACTATACCATGTAACCCCAGTTTCATAAGGAGAAACTGCAGGTGAAAAACTAATCCTTAACAAAAAACATTTTTTGTGGATAATTTTGTTATTATTGGTATTCAGTTCATACATTACCTGATGGGTGTACTGGCACAGGTCTGACGCATGCTAGTGGCAGGCCAAGTTGTCTGCACAGGTGTTGCACCACGCCGAGCGGACTCGCCACGCAGCTGTATATGCAAGGCAAGCGATTTGTGAACGCTATCGCTGTAACAATAAGTACATAATATATTAGATGATTATTTAGTTATTATTTATAAGTTAAATTGCTGCGCCCTAACAGGGTGATGTACTGTACTAGTAGTATAATACCACTATGTATATACATTTTGCAATAAATAAATAAATAAATAAATAAATAAATAAATAAATAACAATATTTTTAAAAATTAAATAAGGACCATATTCAACCAGTTATAAGGTCGTTTGTGCAGTGGTTAAAGCATTATTAAGATTTTCGATTTCTGTAATATCTCAGTTTTGGTATGGACTCTGAAACTGTGTTCGATATACATTCCCAAGCGGTAACCGGTGATTGCTCTCCACTAACTTCATTATAGACCTTATTTCCAATGTTTAGAGACTACTTTCGTATGAACATATTTAGGGTACGATATTTTAACAGGATGACAACAGGCCCTACTATTAAGTGGGACTGGCGCAAAGTGAGTGTTACACCTAATAATATTCTCTGTCGCTTCTTCGGAGAATAATAGAAGAATTAGAGGAAGCGATAGAAAATATAAACCATCTTTAAAAAGGGAGCTAAGAATGTCTATATCTAGCCTAGCCGTCGTGCTGAGCTAGGGTAATGTCATCAAATACTGAATCATCATTTACATATTCTAACAACGAAGTACGAATTAAGTATCTAACTCAGTTATTTTATATGCGAACATTATGTTCGCGTCGTTGATACGGTGACGTCATCGGAAGCTTTGTTTCATCTAACTGAGATAAGCCGATGTTCTAGGTAGCTAGGTACGAATTCCATACATAATGTCGGTAACATACACGCGATTGAACAAATAAATACCAGCACGCGCTAGTACATACATGCGTTGTTGAATATTTTGGTAAATGTTTTGGTAAAATTGTTTAGACGTGGTTTTAGAAATTAGTAATGACTTTTCTTATGAAGTTGGTTCGTTTGGGACTTTCGGTCAAACTTAGTATTACAATATGTTTCAAAGGAAGTGTTTAAATAGTAATATTCACTTGTCGTTTCTTACTACACTTATCATTATCACAATAATAAATAGCAGTTTAGAATTAGAAGGTTCAAGGTTTATTAGAAACCGCTGCTACCCGGTCTCTATCAAATGCGTAGCATGCCCCTTAGTTGGATGTTACCCGTGGGAAGAGTAGGGGATGTGAAAAATAATCTATGAATACCATACAGTTAAGCAAAATACAAACAATATAAAAAACCATAAACATTACGCCAGGGGTGCACATTATGGCAATTACTGCCACTATACAATGTAACACCCACTTTTCACTATTTATGTTAAGAGTTCCATGTTATAGGGGGTGAGCCTATTGCTATATACCGGGGATTATTCCAGACCCCTTGTTACTACTGAAAATTAAAAAGAAAAATTCAGTAATACTATTTGCCCGACCTGGGAATCGAACCCGAGTCCCCTTGCCGAGCAGTCGCAATTGCGACCACACGGCCAACGAGGCAGTCAAGAAAATAAAAAAGACATTTGTGTGGAATAAAGAGGAGTATCCTTACTTAATATTATAAATCGGAAAGTGAGTTTGTTTGTTTGTTCCACTTTCACGCCGTAACTACTAAACCGATTGCTTTGAATTTTTGCAGTCGTAAAGTTAGAAGTCTGGATTAAATAATAGGGTACTTTTTATCCCGGAAAAAAAAGTATTGGTATAGATGGCGCTGTATGTATTGATATATGTCACATAGGCTACTTTTTATCCTTTTGTGGCGCGAGCGAAGCCGCGGATAAAAGCTAGTATAATATATATATGTAAGCAATAACTAAGAACTTACCTCCATCCTCCAAGTACCTTGGGTATCTGTGGTGCAGTAACATTCGAGTGACTCTCACCAGACCCTCCAGCTGTTCCTGGTGATAGTACGCATTGTAGTCTGCTAGTCTGGAACAAGACATCACGGTTAGGATGTACATGGAAATAACTATTCTTCTATCACGTTTAACCATGAGATATTTTTCTATGGGATAAGCCGGTAAACTACCATCCGGATCACCTGATGATAAGCAATCGGCGTCACCCATGGACACCTGGAACACCAGAGGCGTTACAAGTGCGTTACCGGCCTTTTGGGATTAGGAATTTGAGGATCGTTGGAGACTCAAGGATTGGGGAGATTGGGGAAGGCCGTGGTATCACTCCGGTCGTGCCGGCCCAGTCGTGCCGAAGCATGGCTCTCCCACACTTAAATTATTTATTTAATTATTGTATGGCTTATTTACGTAAGTACTTTGACTATGTAGTTTAAGCCACGTCAGGCACCATAGTCAAAAGCAGCATGAGCGACAAACGACTCACAGTCAGCTAGTAATAATAATAATAAGTATCCAGTCAAGATTAGGTTATTTAACTATTAAATTATGAGAAGTCACTCAGAGACGGGGCACAGCGTCCTATAAACTTTAGTTGACTTTATTGCGAAAGGACTTTAGAATGCAAATATGTGACTGACAAATAATAGTAAAAAAAAAATACTCTTCAGTCGTTTATTAATCAAGCTAGTTAAATAGAAGCTGTAATTGGCCACTGGAATGCCAGTGATTATTGGATCAATTTGGATCGAATACGACTGTAAAAATTTGACAAATTAAGCACCATTTATACCTAATTCTTCATTGATCATGCCTTCTATTACCAACTGCCTTGCGATTTTAAGAACTATACCGCAATAGTGACCTCTCTCAATATCTATATGTCGGCGGATACCGACAAACAGAGTGACGGACAATTCTACATGTGTGTATGTCGTTTTTCATTGAATTAAATGCTTCGACTTTGATGTGACTACTGGATATGGAACTTTATGACACATTTTGTATGAAGCTAATGTTTAAATTCTATCACTACATAGTATGAAACAAAGTCGCTATCCGCCGTCTGTCTGTCCCTATGTATGCTTAGATCTTTAAAACTACGCAACGGATTTTGATGCGGTTTTTTTAATAAGACAAAGTGATTCTTAAGGAAGGTTTATATGTATAATATAGTAGAAGAACACTGATAAATTTAGAGGTTTCTATAAACCGGGGCGAGTCGCTTGTCTCTAATAATTAAACTAGTGACACATGACACATGTACTTTATTAAACTGTCAAACACCAAGCGGTCACCGGTGACCGCGACCTATTGTTCTTTAATTGTGTCTATAAAACCGGTACTCGACGAGTTAAGATCAGCCGTAAAAGTTCGATTGAACCTAGAACTGGTTTCTAAGCACCTGCTTGGTAGCCTTATTGGGTTTTCCTATGTTCAAATACTTAATCGATTTCATTATCATATCTTTTTCCTTTTGACTGCCTCGTTGGCCGAAGTGCGCCTGTCAGGCAAGGGGTGTGATCCCCGAGTCGAGCAAAGTATTACTAGGTTTTTAAAAAAACTCAGTAGTAGCAAGGAGTCTGGAATTGTGCCCGGTATATGGAAATAGGCTCACCCCCTACTACATGGGACTCATATCATAACATAAACAGTGAAAAGTGGGTGTTACATGGTGCGGTACTGCGGTAGCATTAATTGCCGTAATGTGCACCTCTGCCTACCCCTACGAGGGTAAAAGACGTGATGTTATGTATGTATCTTTTTCCTTAAAGGACTGATACTATAGTCTTCGTAATGTTATACCTTTCTCCCACAAACATTATCTACCTACAGGCTTCCTTAGAATAAATTACACTAATATGTTAAATGCATGTGAAACTGTGACAAACAACACTTGTTACACGCCTCATGGATGTAATAATTTGCATAGTAATAGGTACCTTACTGTCTGAAAAACAAGTGTTTGAATTGCATGAATCGGTTTTTGCATTTAAATACGTAGGTAGGAAATAGTACGCTTGGGTTTACGACATGGTGGATCGGAATTTTATGGGTATTACGTACAAATACCAATATTTATATTAAGCTTTAGGATTTTTAACTTTATTATGAAGAAGTAAGGTTTAAATCTGTTTTCTTTAGATTCTGCGAATTGTTTTGGCATGTTAGCAATAAAATTGGTCAGCTTTCTATTTGCAAGTGATGAGAAGCCGTGAGATGTTTGAATATCTGTGAACATAGCAGTATGTACTTATTAATTGTGTGTGCTTTCTAAAATGCGTTTAATTTTATTAGAAAGCTTCGACAACAGAGGCCTTAGCACGAGTTTATTTTACGTTTAAAGTAATCGTAACGAGTACGCGTTCGGCGCTGTGATTGGTTGCTTCATTGGTGCCGGCCAATCAGATTGGTTGGTTCACTTGAGCCGGCCAATCAGAGCGCCGAACGCGCTCGATACTATTACGTTACGAATGCGATAGTTATGCGTGCTTGGCACTCATACTACGCGTACTCGTTTCGAATACGCGAAAACACTGATGTTTTAATGAAATCGTAAATAATACAACCATATTGCTAAATTGTATATTGTTTAACTTAGATAAGCGTTGTAAATGTGAGAGCCCTGTAATTAACTTAATATTAAATCAGATTAGTAAAATTCATTTGTGTCAGCTTGGAGTTGTCATGCTCACTCAAAGGTCTCATTGGCGGTGGCGCGTGCAGTGGATCGCTCGATTCCCTACAATATGGTTGAGTTGGGCGGTGCTGGTGTACGTGTCATGTTCGTGAACGGGCGCCGTCAACTGGGACTGGTCAGCTCCAGACTGTATTTTTTATTGTCTTTAAGGTTATTTTCTTTTTCAATCACTTTGACTGGATTTTGGTGTTACATTGTTCTCGCACAATCCAAACAGTAAAACTATGTAACTAGTAAATTGCATTGTGAACCTGATTGAAAAAGAGTAACCTATGGAGTTTCTTGCTCGTTCTTCTCCATTGGAATCTACACCTTGGAATGAGCAAATAGCTTCACTTTTAATTTTCTTTTTGTTGACGTTCAAAAGTGGCATTCTGGCCTAATTGAAATAAATGATTTTGACTTTGACTTTTAATACTTTAAACGTAAATAAAACTCGTACTAAGACCTCTGGCATAATGACTATAATATATTTTTCTGTTCGTTCAAATGTAGCAATGAAAAATATTACACATATATTTTTCCTTCTTTTACGGTAGGTATTCCAGAAATTACGACGATAGGTCGCACTTTATACCTAAGTACTTAGCGAATTGCAGATATTTATAATATCTATCCGCTTATTTTTGAATCCTTAATTTTAATTTCAAACTTTAAAATACTTAACAAGATTCTTTCATATCTCCCTAAAGATGGCGATGGTGAATACATATGAAAACTTTATTTGCACAATAGGATAGATGCTCTATTTTTATTTAAATGTCCGTCTCGTACATTATTTTAAATCATTAGACGCGTATTTTTTTTCTTACAGAAACGAATACTTTCGACGACATATTGATTTGAAATGTCGCGTGACGTCACTTCTATGTACATTAGGAGTTGGGGCTAAAACGTTATACATAGAAATGACGTTTTAGCCCCCACTCCTGAACTTTGATTTGTTTTATCTAAGTATTGATTTATTATACGACAAAATAAAAAAATATGCGTCTAATATTTTTTCATTACCTAAATTAGATTTTTAATTTTCATACCCTGTCATCATCCCAATTTTTTAAGTCCGATGTAAAAATTGATAGTCAATAGGCCTAGGCCTAGGTAGATAACAAATAAAACCTGCATCTAATCTAGGTCACTTGCATCCAGGCGTTCATGGCCAGGTCCTTGGTTGGTCTTGTAGTGGCCTTCATAATTTATGCATCAGTTGGACACGCAATCAACGTAGGCTTTACCGCATTGTTGCAGTTATAAAATCATTACTTAGTGTTTGGGTAGCCCGCGTATAAATTTTCATTAGTTTTTTGCGATTCACAGCTCGATAATCGGATAGTTAGTATATTTTAGGTATGGGAATAGTATTTTTTTTTATTAAATAAATCTCAGTAGTAGCACGGAGTCTGGAATTGTGCCCAGTATATGGCAATAGGCTCACCCCCTATTACATGGGACTCGTAACATAAATAGTGAAAAGTGGGTGTTACATTATTCAGTGGCATTTAGTGCCGTAATGTGCACCTCTGCCTACCCCTTTGGGGATAAAAGGTGTGATGTTACGTTACAAAATAGTATATATGTGTTTACACAGTTAACTTGTCAATTTGGAATTATCCTGGCTATACAATATCTACCGAGATTTAGCTCGTAATGTGTTAGCCTGTGGGCTATCGCTATTTAAACTTACATACAACACATACTGACTGACCCACATTTCTCTTTTATAGTTAGTTAAAAATAGCATTATTCATACGTAGTACAAATTTCCTTATCAGTTTATGGAGAACGCTGTAAAATCACCATTAAAATTAATTATGCCGTGAAGTACTAATGGCGAATGATTAATTATGAAAACTCTTATTTCGTATTGTAATATCATTTGTAGGTACTTTTTTTAAACGTGGTTCTAGGTATACCAGAATTTTTTCCTGTACCTATCAGTAGCACGGAGTCTGGAAAAATGTGCCCGGTATATGGCAATAGGCTCACCCCCTATTACATGGGACTCATAACATAAATAGTGAAAAGTGGGTGTTACATTGTACAGTGGCATTAAGTGCCGAAATGTGCACCTCTGCCTACCCCTTCGGGGATAAAAAGGCGTGATGTTATGTTATGTTTGTATGTTTGTTTGTTCGTTTGTTTGTTACTCCTTTACGTCAAAACGGCTGAAGGGATCGAGATGAAATTTGGAACAGGAGTAGATTATGGTCTGTACTAACATATAGGATATTTTTTATTATAGGGGACTGCGTGCGATGCGGCCGGTAAATAATAACTAGTACCGTGCCGGAATCAACCCCGCGCCACGTGGCGTAAGAGTCAGTTTCCGAGCCACTGCGCCAACCATTCAGTCATGCGTGTAATATATGGATGATGTAATTATAATCATAAATACGTAGGTATAATAATTTTCTTTGTATCAATCCTAAAGATCAATTTGTAGCAAATGTAACTTTATCTTTCAAATATTAAAGGAATGATAAAACCGTAATCCGACATTTATTGCTGTCTTAGTCACAACAATAACATATTTAAAACACCTGTTATTTTCCAAAGAGATAACGCAGAGTCGGGTCATTGCAAGAGTAGTCATAAGTATGATTGTTTAGGGAACACAGAGTATAGCTCCCTAAGATCGGAAAAGGAGGATCCTCCGACCAGGCGAGGTGATCGTGCCTGGCGGGCTTACTACCCAACAATTGTTCGTTGGGATTTTCAATCCGTGTTAATTTGCATGTAAACTTTGCATGTGTGATGTAGGACTTTTGTGACGTCATGTAACATGTAACATGTGTCGCCACAATTGCCAAACAATAGGTTTTGGATGAGTTTTCCAAGGCAGGTAAAGTTATTGGAGTTGTGAAGTTATGCCCACTACCTATATGGGACTCCTTATGGCATGAAACTCAAAAAGATAAAATTTAACTAGTGAAAAATAGATGTTACATTAAATCTTATTCATAATGCTGAAGAGATTTTTGTTTGTTAGTTCGAACTCGCTGATCTCCGGACCTACTGGGTCTTATTGAATAATTATTTTTGTGTTGGATTGACCATTAATCAAGGTAGACAACAGGTTCAAAATTATTGTACTACAATCAAAAGGGTGACCAGAACAGGTAAAATCGCATGGGTGTAATTATTTAAGAAGTTAACTATATAAAATAATCTCAGCCTAGTCCTTTAGTTCTTAAAAAGCATGTATATAATAGAGTTTTGATGCAACACAAAAATTAATAGCAGTCCTTTCATTCTGTCACTTCTTATCCAATTTCAATTAATTCTCAAGGCTGACTGATAACACTAATAGCAGATATTATCAACTACACTAATTTATCAGTCATACATCTATGCTCTAAATTGCAAAGATGTGTACATTCATTAGTTACTACATTATTTTACAATATGTTTGTGAAACAAAGATATAATTATGAGGAAGTGTAATTACACCTAATTTCCTAATAACCTGTTTCTCCTATCACACAGATATTGTAAAAGCCAATTAAAATCTGCACATTAAACAGTGACTGGGTACTGAGGGACAGTATTCTCTAAAAAACCTGAATCTTTTAACCACAATATCCGCTAAGCATGGAATATTATGATAAAACTTAGTACATATGGGAGGCCCACAGGTCAGTAGTGGACAGTGAAAGGTTGTTTTTAAACTGTACTCTGTTATTAGATGCATCACATTATATTAAAGATGGGCCAAATTAATAGCACCCTTTAATTGATTGATGACTGTTGAGGAAGTAAAATAGGTATGTAAGAGTGTAGCATTTGGCGTTTTATACACTCTGCCGACCCCTTGAGAGACAGGCATGAGGTGATGTATGTATTGGATGCAAAATCTTGACATTTAAAAATATTACCAACAAAAACAAAGGCCTTATAATTTCATTGACCCTATTTTTTACTTATAGCTGATACTCATAACAGTCTACAAACAATATATGCAGTGTTGTTGAAACAGGTACTCATGATAAGTAATGATATATATCATCATCTATTAAAACCATAAGTGTCAATGACAAACACATAATCAAATAACAACTCCTTTGTACGCAATATTCATTTGTAATGTAGCTGTATGTCATTGAATAAATGGAGTAGAATATTATTACAATAGTAGCATTCATTAAATACATTTGTTATGCCCATAGGTGTTACTTTTAGACAAGTTTATACTTGTAGGTGTTAAGTAGTAATTTTAGTTATTTACCAATAAGAAAACTTTCTTACCTGAACATATGAGACATCCATCTTGTTGTTTCACTGGCAATGTGAGCACCAAGTCTTGCTGCATGACTCCGCTCCAACCTTCCAAATAAAGCTGATATACTGTGAGACAGTATCGCAGCTCGTGTCACCGCATCTGTCGGCAATAGCGGCGGCTCTACACTCTCACAACTAGGGTCTGTCTTCAACACCAAGTCTTCCAAAACCTTCAGAATCTCATCCATTGATGTTTCTTCTGGCTCAAAGAAACCAGCACTGATCTTTCGAGGCTCTGGCTTCTTTTCCTCATCTTGAACATCCTGAGCGTTAACTCCGGCCTCTAAACGGCCTACTACTTCTGAAACTTGGAACTCCAAATCGCCGAAAGGACGCCGGTCCTGAATAACGATAAAGGATCGTTAATGACTTACTATAAAACTCATATTTCAGAAATATGATAGGAGGGAATTTACCAGCTCGGGGGGTGCCTCGCTTCCTGGGCTTGGTTTATTGGACTCAGGGTCCGAAACTGATGCATCTCCCATGCTGCGTGGCGATTTTTTCGCAAAATTGTAGCACCGATCCTAAAATGTGTAAACGTCACTTCAATTCCAATGTTTTGACGTGGGTGGCGTGTGTACATTCACGAATAGTGATAGGATTTACGAACAAGTTCCACGAATACAATACAATTAAAAAAGTCTGCTTATAAAATTTATTTCCGTAAATAAATAGAAAGTGTTAGTACTTGTTTTCTAAGGTACAAAATATTTAATTGATTTAGAATCGTTAAAAAACAAAAACGGATAAAAGTGAAAAGACAATCAAAAATTTCAAAAATATTATCTGTGGCCTAGAAATATTGAGCTGTCAAAATTCCCAGCAAAGCTGCTAGCGGTTTGACATTGACAGCGTTTTGACGCATTTGACAGATATTCTGACATTTAGCTTTTATTTTCACTCGCAAGTCGAGAAACGCAATCAATAAAAGCGAAAATAAAAGCGAGTATTTAGTAATTAGAATAATGTCGTTAGCTAAAATATTTTCTGTTTCTTCCCGAGGTAAATTTTCTTGTGAACGTCCAATAGTAATTTCATGGAAATTAATTTAATCTGTTACGCAATTGTTGTTTATAACCTAATCAAATAATCTTATTTACTGTATGAAAAACATTTAATTCATTTACTTTCACTACGCAAATGTTTATTTATAGCAATGTGTTACGTTGTGACTGTGTAAAATATACGTAAAAACATTGAGTTCTGTAAAAAATAAGAACAGATGATCGTTTTGTTTTTAGTTCGTACTACTGGAGCCAGTAGCTTGATTGCGAGGCATGCCCAGTATAGTACAGAAGGCAAAGTGGAGAAGGTGTACCCGCCCAACATACCTGGCTACAAATATGTGAATGCTGAGGACCCTAACATGTCCATGAAGGAGATGTCCAACAGGGCTGCTCAAACATTGTTCTGGACAGAACTTGCTAGAGGATTTGCTGTTACCCTGGCTCATATCTTCAAGGTAAACTTTTCAAGATATCTAACAGATAATCTAGAATACAGCTGTCAGGAATGTAAAAGTGAAAACTATAGCTTTTCAGGGAACATCCTTAGTAGGTAATGTTTTATAGATTATTCAGCTTGAAAAAATTTAAACTTTCTTATGATAAATAAAAAAGCTATAAATCTGTTGTTAAATAAATTTAAGCTATCAATATAATTTGTAGATAAGGTAATGATACAAATGATAGAAATAATAAAGTATTATGTACAAATAAATCAGTTTGTTAAACATGATTTTGTAAAAATTGAATTATGCTATTCAGAAACTTAGATCTACAAAGAAAGAAAGAAAGAAAGAAAGAAAGAAAAACTTTATTTCACACGCTAAAACAGGTGACACGTACAGATTTTAGACATTTTACATATAAGTACATCTACTAATGTCCCAAGTCTGCGGTGAAATGGGACCAGTTCAGCATGTGCAAGACAGGGCCTCGCGCTGGTATTCTACTGGCCCCTTAAGTGACCCGGACGAACAGACACCAAATCAGATAAAAACACAAAATAAAATGCACAAAACAAAACAAACACATAATAACAACAAAAAAGGAAATTAAAAAAACGTAAAACAAAAAACAAAGTGAAATTGGAGCATCCTACCGCCCCCGCCACCCCAGCGACCGCATAAGTCATGCCATGGGATTGAGATGGCGACAGCAAACAGGCAAAACCGCGACACTACGCCATACGCCGGCGACCATTGAACACATGTGAATGTGATCAATTGTGTTGTGATGTGATGTGAAGTGACAGGAATCAGTGAGCAATATTGAGCACGCACGAGACCGAGCACAGCTGCTAGAACTATCACAAAACTATTAGACATAAATCTACAACCTTTACCTACAGTAGTGAGGGTCATCTTCAGATTGCACCATTTTACCTGATAATATCATCAACAGCCTATAAATGCCCACTACTGAGTAAAGCCTCTTCTCCCGAGGTTTTGGCACTAATCACCATGCTTGCTCAATGCGGGTTAGTGATTTTAAACATGAAATTAAAAATCATTAACCCATTTTTCTCATGATGTTCTTTTACTGTTTATCAGTGGTATCTAATCTAAATATTCTTAGAAAGTAGAAAGCTTCATTGGTACTTGCAGTTGGTAGATTTCAAACCCGCACTCTCTTGCATGAGAAGCGGGCGTCTTAATCCTCCGGGCCACCACGACATCACACACGTCCATGACAGACATACTTATTGTAGTTATTTTACAGAACATGTTTTTGATTATTTCCAGGAACCAGCAACCATAAACTACCCTTTTGAGAAGGGACCTCTTTCCCCTCGCTTCAGAGGAGAGCATGCCCTCAGGAGGTATCCATCTGGTGAGGAGAGGTGCATTGCTTGCAAGCTCTGTGAGGCCATCTGTCCTGCTCAGGTAATATAAAGCTTTTAAGGTCTGAAATAAGTCTACATTAACAATGCAGTGGTTGACTGAGCATTGCAAAAATTCAGAATATAAATTCAATTAGCCTAAATAAAAACACATTGTGTCACACATAGATCTGCGTTTCGGTATAACATAGATTATAATACTAACGCCAAACAAAATGTCAGTTGTTTCTTCATCTCTTGAATGGTGCTTACGTCTTTACATGTGATGTTGTTGATCTAATCTTAAGCTGATCATTTACCACTTTATCTAGTAATCCACATAGTTGTAGTCTAGTGAACATAATAATTATCAACCAGTACCACATAACTGATTCTGCATTTTGATGTTGAATAAGAAATCTCATTTGTATTACAGGCCATCACAATTGAAGCTGAAGAACGTAAGGATGGCTCCAGAAGAACCACCCGTTACGATATCGACATGACTAAGTGCATCTACTGTGGTTTTTGCCAGGTATGTAGTCTTTCTTAGTTTAATTGCACCACTTGATTGTTGATATATGAGAGACAGTAGAATTCAAGTACTCCACAGGTTGCGGAGCTTATAAAAAATTTCCTACTCATTGATCAGGGCCAGTCTCGTTAGCCAAATAGAAATGATCCAAGGTGAAGGCAAATAAATAAGTACAAAGATGTTTGAGGGATTAGGATTCGATTACGGAAATGCGGCGCACAGTTTGGTATTACGCGAGCGATGACGCGTACCGCTACGGCAATGTACGACGAACCATCCACCGCGCGACGTCTACGTAAATGAGGCCTAGTCTATTGGAGGATCGCGGGACGATCTCCGGCCACCTTAAGCGCGGGCCTGCGGACGGCGAGCATGGGTGGCTCCCGGTCCGACCAGAAACAGACCCGAGCGTACGGCGCGTCGCGTTCCGCGCGCGCCTCAAAGAGCCATCAGACCACCACAGATGGGGCCCAATAGGGCCGATGCCGATTCGGAGTCGCGGAGAACCTAACGGGTAACCGGGGCTCCGGCTCGACGTGCAGGATGAGGAACGGAGTGGTTTTTAGTCAGTAAGAGTCTGACACTCCCTCCCGCCTCACCCAGGCGGGAGCAGTCATTCGATGATTTTCCCCCCTTAAAAAAAAAAGTATTGGAGGATATGTTATTATGACTGTAGGAGTTTTAGTCTATTGTTAAAAAAATCTGTAATATTTTTGGGTATTGCGTAATTAGGTTGTAGTGAGTTTGAAAATTTTCATTACTTGAGACTGATGTTGTTCTAAACTTTTTTTTTCAGGAGGCGTGTCCCGTCGACGCTATCGTAGAAGGTCCTAACTTTGAGTTCTCGACCGAGACTCACGAGGAACTGTTGTACAACAAGGAGAAGCTCCTATCGAATGGTGACAAATGGGAGAGTGAGATCGCAACCAATATTAGGGCTGATCACCTTTACCGTTGAACAAATAACTTTTTCCGTTAGTGTAAATAGCACATCCAAGACCTATTTTGAAATTGAGTAGAATGTCAACACAGTACACAAACTATATGCAATAAAGAGAACTAAAAAACCTGCTTAAATATACAAAATAGGCCTAGGAATTAGGAATATTAAATTATATTGTTTTTATGATTATTAAAACATCGTCTCAGTTAATCATTGTTTTATTTCAAGAAAATAAGTCGCACATATTTGATCTAAATTAAAAGTAATAGTTTAAATAAAAAACCCTTATTATATCAGTCATTTGTACCTATAGATAAGTAATCATCTAACAAGATTATTGCAAAAGCCAGCTTTTGAAAATAAATAAAAAGTTTTAAATACTCTGGATTTCATTAAGGTTGCAAACAAAATTCAACCTTATAGTATAAATAAATAACTATTGAATCAATTGCAAATTGAAGTCCATTATAAGTTAAATAATATTAATGAAAAAATTCAAGTCACTACTAGTATGAAAAGATAACATAGTTATCACTTATGATAACTTTGGTTTTAAAAATATGAAATTGATTTAAAATAATTATTTGTACATTATTACTAAAACTGTCAGTATTTTAAGACCCGCATAAGGAATAATACTACATAAAAAATAAGGAACCTAAAATAAATAACTTAATTGGTGTGATTACCACCAAGTATCTTGTAGGAGTATCTTTCAAGATCCTCTTTTACGCAGGCAAGGCCTCTGTCTGCATCAATTGTCAGCACTTCGCACCCTACGTCTGGTGAATTCAGCCAGTTTTCATATGATTCATGGACCTGTGAATTGAAGAATTTTATTTTTTTAAATGTCACCTCACTCTAGGATTTTCTCTATATTGTGGGTGTTTACAAACATTCAATTTCATATACACAGGACACCTAGACTCAAAACAACAATTTGTGAATCATACAAAGAATTGTTCCATGCAGGAATTGAACATGCTAAACATTGTTGAGCAGTAACCGGACCAACTGTGCAGTCGAAAAGTGATATAAATAAAATAAATAGCTTTAAGTTCGTTTTTCGTGTTTTTTTTTCATAACATAATATAACAATAACATCACGCCTTTTATCCTCGAAGGGGTAGGCAGAGGTGCACATTATACCACTGTACAGTGTAACACCCACTTTTCACTACTTATGTTATGAGTCCCATGTAATAGGGGGTGAGCCTATTGCGATATACTGGGCACAGTTCCAGACTCCGTGCTACTATTGAGAATTTTTTTTAAAAACCTAGTAAATACTTTGCCCGACCCAGGAATCGAACCCGAGACCCCTTACCCGAAAGTCGCAATTGCGACTAGGCAGTCGAGATTTTTTTCACTATACAATTTTCAGTTAAACTCTCGAACAGATTGCGTCAATCAAACATAATGAATCAAATAGGTTGCGCCGCAACCTATTGTTCTTCAATTGTGTCTATAATGACGATACTCAAAGAGTTAATAAAAAGCTTGTAAGTATTTAGTAAGAGCTTTTTATAGCCTTGTTTATTATAACAAGCTTGTTATTGCCACTGGTTCATAAAATGGTCAAAAAAAATTGTCATTGAGCAAACAATATTACCTGTTTCAAATAATCTAAAGGTACTTCAGATTCCTCAGCTCTGCCACGTTTCAGCATCCTTTCATAAACCGTCTCAGGAGTTGTCCTTAGATAAACTAAAAAACATTTCACATTTGAATAAAACATTGTTCAGTGCCATTAGTAATACAATTTTCCATAACAAAAGTCCTACTAATATTATAAATGTGAAATTTGTATGTGTTTACTTGTCATTCCTTCACTTCAAAACAACTGAAGAGATTGGGATGATATTCGGAACATAGGTTCATTATGGTCTGGAATAGCATTCTACATTTTATCCCATGGGTACACAAGTGAAGCAGTGATGACAAAAGTTACTAATTAGATAAATCACTAACAATATGGAAGTTGACAACTAGTCAAATTCAATACTTTTATCGAAACATCAAAAACGATACTGTTCTAAGAATTTTGTATGAAATACCATCTTATGACGTCATTATATTTTCGCATCAAATAGCAATTTATATCTAAAAAAAAATGCTAGAATAAATCGAAAATTAAGTATATCGGCAAATCAATGAATGAAAGTGTAACTATTTTTCAATATTTTGTTGGACTGGAAAATCAAAATAATTTGACCCAGGAAACTACCCAATTTTATAAAACTGTGTACTAGTCATAAGTAAAAGTATAAGATTTACCTATGAGATCTAAATTAATATCAAGATGTTTCTCAGAGTACTCAAACCAAGCGGACAGTGTCTGGTACTCAGGATCCTCCAAAAAGTTTTGCTTCTTGGCATTCTCCACAAAACAATGTCTGCTATTTTGCACTGATCTGAAAATATAAAAATGTATCATATAAAATGATGGTTATTATTTAGGACTTGATTATGTCCGAATTGTACCTATATTCAAGTGAGAATGGATAAAATATTTTCCTGTCAGTTAGCTAATAGTAACTTAATCAGATGCTGTGAATCTGGTATAAAAACAGATTATTGGCTTAACTTTTGTATTCTTTAAACTGTCAAACACCAAGTGGTTAATAAAGTCAAAGGGTCAACACTCAAAGGGTTAATAAAGAAAGGTCAAACAAAAACATTAGCAACCTTTTACCTTTCAAACATTTTAACAGTGATGTTCGGGTTACAAGGCTGGCTGGTTTGTATTTTTAGACGACTCAGATGCACATAGTGTTGGAAAGCAAAGCTCCACTTGTTAAGGTCACTGTAGAGCAGTCCAAGAAGGTTGTGACCTCTGACGTTGCGCCAATCATCTAGAGGTTCCTGGAAGATAGAAAATATTTCTGTGTCATTCCAAAATGTATGGCACACTCTGTGTTCAGAATATTACAAGTTAGATTGGTGTAAATAAGTGTGTGAGCAGGAAACAATCTAAATTACACGATACTTGTGAAGGAAAAGGCGACTTTCAAATACAACTGGTTGCTACTAAATTTACCAAATTTCTGTAGCACTTACCCCATGTTTCTCAACGTTGGGATATTTATCAAAGAACTTGATGCACGTTGACTTCCCAGAGCCGATGTTACCTTCTATAGAAACCCTGAAAGGTCTCTTTTGTACTGTTCGTGCGGCATTCGTAATGCTCTTCATATTTGACATTTTTAGCATTCAACGATTAAAATTATTAACTGCAAATGAATTTTATTGTTAAAGAACATACTTTTTATCTTTATATTTAAATATCTGGTCAATATGTTTTGTAAAACTAACCTTTTGTCTTGAAAGCGCGGTTGTTGTGGTCGTACTGCTTATAAACTCTATAAACGTCGTCGGTAAATTATGTTTGTAATAGTTTCAGCACTGAGATGATATGAAATATTGATAGTATTTATTGGTTTTATTGCATTTATTGTCACATAATAGGACAACGCATTTTTAAACGCTAATAAGCACTTTTACAGAAATAGTCAATAAGTCAACAACACAACTTTGGCGCCAGAAAATTTCATTGATTCATTCATTCGTTCGATGATGACGTTAACAGTGACAGTGACGTTTTGTTGACTATCTTGACGTTTACGTTTACGTTTACACGTCACGCACAGGACTTTCGGATAACGGCCTTTATGCACTTATGTTTATTGTTTAGCAAGAAAAATGTTGTTTTTCATTAATTATTTATTAACTTGAAGTTTTGATTAAATCACATTTAGATTGAATAATCCGCGTCGTAAACAATTCGATACAAACCAATACGCTATCTACTATATATCGATAGATACTTACCTTTAAGTTCACAAAAAAGAATATTAATAAAGAGAACAAGAAGTGTGTGAATTTGGAGGTAGGTAATGGTAGTTTGTATTTGAAGTACAACCATACACACGGCCACACATCAATCTATACAAAACCAGTTTATCCTGGTGTCACGTCGCATCATCTTTTCGCACATTTAACGTTCAGTTTATACTGGTTTGTAATGCTCATGTAGCCGTGTGAACAATGTGCATAATAAGAGGCTGACCTAACACACCCAACATAGTGGTGTTCATGGGCACCTCTTATTACTTCCCATTAAGTAATTCGTTTGATTTCTATTTCTTTAAGAAAGATTAACGATAACGAAATAAATTTAAGCAGTTACTCACAATTAGCAGTACCTTCGAAGGGTCTAAGTATTTCTACCTATACTTAAGACTATATACAGTGTAGCATATTAAATTTTATAAGCTTATTGTGCGATACAAAACGAGCACGCAAATATTGTACCTAATTTATATAGGCACACACGAAGTTTATTACAAACACGTACTTCAGAAGGAGCGTTTGATTTTTTCATTCGAGGTTTTGTGAATGTGACACGCAATCAATGTGAAATAAAGATTGACAGTTAATTAAAACGCGGGGCTCGATGCACTACGTCGATGTTCTATAGACGCATTTCAACTGAAATTCATATGACAGTTGCCTACCTATTATAGTGCGGGTGCAGTAACTTTTATAGACTTAATTGGTTGCTTACATCTATGGCGTACCTTTTTATTTAGATACGCAAAGACGCAAATGTGAAATGTTTGACGGTACTTACATACCTCGATTGCTAAGAATAGTAATGTTGTTTTATTGGCAATATTTTTGGCCTATTTATGCCGAGAAAGGTTCCTACCTACCTATTTATTGAAATATTTGACAACCGCCAATTCAACAACATAGGTTTGTCGGCATGCGGTCACGTAACGAACTCGAGATTTTGTATCTTAACGTTTATTTTAAGACCAGTCGTTCAATGAAGCAATACCTACACATATCTATTTTTAAGTGTGGGAGAGCCATGCCTCGGCACGAATGGGCCAGCTCGACCGGAATGATACCACGGCCTCACAGAAAACCGACGTGAAGCAACGCTTGCGTTGTGTTTCGTCGTGTGAGTGAGGTTACCGGAAGCCCAAACCTTCCCCTTCCCCAATCTCCCCAATCCCTGAATCCCCAACGATCCTCAGACTCCTGATCCCCAAAAAGCAGGTGACGCACTTGTAACGCCTCTGCTGTTCTAGGTGTCCATGGGCGACGCCGATTGCTTACCATCAGGTGATCCGTCTGCTCGTTTACCGGCTTATGCCATAAAAAAATCTATATTGTAAATAATGTAATTATGATCTTTTGGACAAAAACAAAAACATTAAAAAATATTCAAAGTAATTTGTAACGGCACTAGGCTCATTATTTAAATGGAATAATGAACGCATTGTCTGTGCCATTGCTATACAGTAACAGGCAAGTTCCATTGCCTCTGGGCTTGACGCAAGTCTATTGTCTCTGTTTTATACTCCGCTGCACCGCGAATGAGTGTGGGGATCCGTAAACCGTTTGTTAAAGCTGTTCGTTTTTTAAATTATGATTGTTTTTATCTGTGATACCTATGTAGATAAATATTTGTTTTGATTAATCTCGCAAAACGTTTTACTAGCCATTTCTGTGTAAATACATCGTTTTCATATAAATTATCATCATACAACTTACACGTTAATGTCGAAATTTCTCTAAAAGCTTTTCGAGCCTTCGCGGAAAACAGCTTTAATGATTCAAAAGTATGTAATTTTATTTTTGATTTATATTAAACTACCTTCTGCCGGCGGCGTCGCCCGTGTTCGCATGGGATGAAAAGAAGCTTAGAAGCCTATATGTTATTCCAGAGCATAATCTATGCCTATTCCAAATTTTATCCCGATCCCGTTTAGCCGTTTTGATGTTATTGAGTAACAAACATACCTACATAAACAGACAAACTCACAAATTTTCTTCTTTATAATATTAGTACCTACTTAAGATAACATTGACCCACTGAACATATAAAGTTATATGTTCTGTGATCATACCAATATATTGTCTTCTTATGCTTCAATGAGGTGGCATGAGGTGGGCCGAGGCACAGATAATGTACGTATCACTTATTTATCACCAGTTAGGTAGGTACTTAAAAACAGTTCTGGGCATAAATAATAAAAAATAACCTATTGCCACACAAGTGTCGTACCATTACTGAATATTTTCTAAGCTAACTAAACAGTTTCGGAAATCAAAATACCTATCTCAATTCCAAACACAGTAGGTTTGCGGTAACTCGATCAACGAGGTCACAAATTGACAAAAAAACATTTTATTTTGGTCTAGGGTACAGCTACAGACCCATCACAATAAAAAAAAACTAAAAACTTCAACCCTCTCCGCAATACATTTTTCATTACAAGCGCTAAAATAGGATCCTTTGCAATACCTACATTTTTGGGGTGAACAGCTCTCGACAAGCTATTGTAAAATGCACAATGGTTATACGAAAATAATATGTGTTTTGAATTGCATTGTTTGCATTTCAATACCAACATTCAATGTTTTTGTTTGATGTCATTTGATAATTCTAACATCTATTAGGCTATAAAATACTTTATAGATATAACATGTTATATTTAAAACAATATTTTGTACTGGCAACATTGCATTCGGTATTTAAAATTACAAAGCATAGCATACTAAAATTATGCAAAATTAATAATGATTGAATGGTTTTGAATGACTTGAATCGTTTTTGTTGTTCTATCGATATTAATTTTATTGCACGAAAACAATTGATACTGTAATTTGAGTAGGTAATTTATTTTCAAATTACTGGTCCCACGTTGGGCGTCAATATGAAAATTTTACTGACGATGACGATCGAACAAATAATTAAATGAGAATATTTATGAATGTATTTATTGTAATTTGTACTTAATGTCTAGGTCCTAGGTGCTACAATAAGTTGGTATCCATCTTTGGGTCTTAGAATAAAAGCGCGTGGAGAGAGATGTGGTGATGCTCGTATTGCCTTCGTCTTGTAATGCTTCAGGAATTTCACGAGGAACACTTTCGCTGCAAGAACTGCGAAGCGGGAACCTGAAGAAAGGGACATACACAACATCTTGATATATTAATGTACGACACATGCATGTAGAGGTAATATACAGAATCATTATTTTATAAACTACGTTTAAAAAAACCGACTTTAACCCCCTCTTTTATGAAGTCCGTTAATCAATATCAAACCTTCAAGAAAAGAGAGTATTCCTTTTTAAAAGGCCGTCAACGCACCTGTGACTCCTCTGGTGTTGCGGGTCTCCATGGGCGGCGCTAATCGCTTACCATCAGGTGATCCGTCTGCTCGTTTGCCTCCTATTCCGTAAAAAAATATATATACCTTTTTCCTAAGTACTATAACAAACACTTTTCTGAAAACCGCATAGAAATCGGTTCAGCGAATCGCGAGAAAATCGTGCACACACATACACACAGGTTAAACTGAGAACCTACTTTTTAGACTGCACGGTTGGTGCGGTGGCTGGGCAACTGGCTGCCGTGCAACGTGTCGCGGGTTCGATTCCCGCACGGAACAACACTTTGTGTGTTCCACAAATTGTTGTTTCGGGTCTGGGTGTCAATGTGTATGTAAACTTGTATGTTTGTAAACGCACCCACGACACAGGAAAAAATCCTAGTGTGGGCCAACAATTTGTTTAAAAAAATAATTAAATTCGGCTAAAAATAAAATACATAGGTAAAAGTTCCTAATATACAAGTCACAAGACTTTGACGTCATCACTAACCTCGGGAACCTACTACGACTGGAATATGTAAGTTGCGTACATATCACTCGACTGACAAGCTAAAAACTAGGATGATCAAGCGAAAGATTATTTACATCAGAAAACGACACAAATAATATAACAACTTAAATACTACCCATAAGTTCTCTGTACTACAATATACTTAGGTATCTAAGTCCCTTTCCAATATTGACAATAGGAATCATAGTCAAAGTTATAAAGGAGCATTCCTTACCAATGCAATGTCGGGGTCCATTTCCGAACGGCATGTACGTATAGGGAACTATCTCTGCTTTCCTCTCCTTTGAGAAACGTTCTGGAATACAGACATCTGGATTTGGCCAGAACTTCTCGTCGCGATGTATCGAGTATATTGGTAGCCAGACGTGTATACCTGCTGGCGCCTGTGGGGATTTGAAGAGTTGTTATTTAGTGAAGTGCTTCACTTATATAAAGGTTGGTTCACAAGAATGGTGGCGAATCGTTATTGTTGCAAGTTTAAAAATGAAATATGTGAATAATAAATATTTTTTTTATTTGTAACATCACACTAATATTATAAATATGAAAGTTTCTCTGTTTGGATGTTTTCCCCCGTCAATCACACTGAAACTATTGAACGGATTTTGATGAACTTTGGTATACAGGGTATGGGCCAACTTAGATGGTAGTATTTTTTTTAGGGGTTTTTAAACGCCTGGGTGAGGCGGGAGGGAGTGTCAGACTCTTACTGACTAAAAACCACCCGTTCCTTCTCCTGCACGTCGAGCCGGAGCCCCGGTGACCCGTTAGGTTCTCCGCGACTAGGTGGTAGTATAGGCTTTTTATTCCGATTAAATGTGGGAATACAGAGGAAGGCCACGGGTAAAAGCTAGTTAATCAATAAAGCAACTATACTTACCTAACTTATTAGCGACTGGGATTATACTTTTAATAGAACTTAAAAAACTTATCTAAACAAACTACCTACATACGTACCTGAAAAGGAATTTTAAAGTACCTAAACGTAATCTTATGTAATTCAAATAGCTATTTCTAAGATTTTCAGCCTAATTCAATTTGAACACCAGACTTGGAAATAAGGTTCAAAATTTTGAAGTCTCGAGCTCAGGGTTGTGAAAAAGTAAACAAAATTCAGTAAAGGTTCCACCCCCTATTATGTCGTAAACGATCTATTAACAGAGAATAAAGGAATCCTCCAGGGCAATGGGCCTATTAAGATGCCAAATTACCTATTACCACGCGCCAATGAAGTTATTACTTGGAAAGTATCGCTGGTATAGCACAACCTCATTTGTGGAGATAGCTATGTACTAAAATTAAGTGATAAAGATTTTATACGGTGATAGCCTGAAAAATATTTGTTGGGTTTATTGTCAGTGGCCATTATATCATTGTGCCTAATTCAGTTTATGGAAATAGTTTTCAAGTACTGTTTCTAATGTTTTCCTTTTGTACATTTCCTAAATTAACTTCCGATTTTATAGATCTTGAACCTGTTTTTTTTACAGAATGTTACATGAAGTTTCAACGTTCACTTTTTTAAATAAAAAAATGCTAAGTAAATGATATTCCTGACTTGTCAACACGTGAGCGAAGCCTTAGACTGAAAAGGTTATTTTTTAAACTATATACTACTAGCTTCTGCCATTTTTTCCTGTCCCCGTTCATGATTTTCGGTAAAAAGTAAAAAAAATGGTTAAAAAGTATTCTATGTCGGTCTCCTGGCTCTAAGCTACCTCCCTACCAATTTTCAGCCAAATCTATTCTGCCATTCTTGAGTTATAAGTGGTGTAACTATCACGACTTTCTTTTATATATATAGATTGTCTAGGCGTATAAGACATCAAAACTCCGTACCTTTTTTTTATTAATTTTAGTAGGGACTGAAATTGGCTGATACCAAACTTTGGCTTCTATCCAGAAAAATAAATTATACGAAGTAGCTCCTAGTGCCTAATAGTTTTTGGCTTAATTAATAAACAACAACATTTTATACATACTAAATAGAATCTTAAATAAGTACTCACGACAAGACGATCTTTGCTTCCAGGGTGAGTAGGACCAAAATCGTAAGTTGCGACCGAACGCCGATCAGCCGACCCAACTAAAGGCCATAATCGCAAAACCTCTGAAAATACAACACAACTAATTATTCAACTGTCCATGGTAATGATAGTGATAGTGGTTCTTCAAATAGAGTATTAATTAATCAAACATTTGTCTCATTAGTATTAGGCCCAAAAAACCCCTTTGAGGGAATCATCCAATCAGTTCTATCGCATTGGATGAGGCAAGAGGGAATGGCAAACTTTTACTGACTAAAACTACTCCGTTTCTACTTTTGCTTTGAGCTGGAGCCCTGGTGATCCATTCGGTCATCTGCAGCTCCGAAAGGTCAAAAAGCATGTAGCTGTATCGACAAGCTTTTTCAGACTTAGGCTGGGTTGTACCAACTTACTTTAACAATGACAAACGTCAAAATTTCTGTTACCTAAACTATCGGTTAGGTCAAAAAGACGTCAAAAAGCTTGCCCAATTGTCAGAGTCAAAGCATTAATTTCAATTAAACCATAATTTGATACTTTTGAAACGACATTACTTATTACATTACAAACGACGGTATTTTTGTCACATCGGTATGCGATAACCAATGTCTTTTGCAGTGTTAAAGACGCCAAAGTGTCATGCAAAAGTTCTTACCATTCACACACATATCCAAATATTCCATTTCTTGAACTGCTTCATACATATCGTTGATCTGGTTTTCAGGAGGCAAGGTGTCCAGTTCTTCATGAAGCTTCTCCTGCACTGCAGGGTTGATGGCCATTTCATACAAGAAGTAGTAGATCAGGTTTGCTGTGGTGTCGTAACCAGCTATGTAGAAGAGAACTGCTTGAGCTACTAGATCGTCGTCTGTGAATTCTGTGAAAATATTATTAGTCCTTAAAATTCTGTTTTGTTTTAGGATATTACTAGTTTCTTGTCGACATTTTCATATTTGAATTACTGGTCTTACTTATCGAAATTTTGTTTTGGCGTTTTATTTTATAGTTGTACTCATTGACTGCCTCGTTGGCCGAGTGGACGCAAGTGCGTCTGCCGGGCAAGGGGTCTCGGGTTCGATTCCCGGGTCGGGAAAGTATTACTGGGTTTTAAAAAAAAATTTCAGTAGTAGCACGGAGTCTGGAATTGTGCCCGGTATATGGCCATAGGCTCACCCCTTATTACATGGGACTCATAACATAAATAGTGAAAAGTGTGTGTAACATTGTACAGTGGCATAATGTGCAAATCTGCCTACCCCTTCAGGGATAAACGGCGTGATGTTATGTTATGTTGTACTCATTGCTAGCTTTTAAAGCCCTTTTCATTGTTAAAATGACTATTATTACATTCATTCATAAGCCGATAGTAGTTGATAGGTTGAAAATGTCGAAATTCTTTAAACTTTTATGTAGCGTCCGATTATTTCCGAGTCCATTCCGATTCGTCCGTATTATAATATGTAGCGATAAATAAAACAATTCATTGGACAAGAGAATGTCGATTGGGATTTTCCGACTGGGAATTTCCCATCAATGGGATCACGTGATGAACATATTTGAAATATTATAAATTAACTTTTGTGAAGTATTGAGTAACTAGGGTTATTGTGGAGTTCCATTAAGCTGTTGTTACTGAAAAGGTTATCAGAAGAGCGAAAAGGCGAAGTTTATGTCAGTCAAGTCAGTTATTGTGTAGGTATTGTGTTGAAACAGGAAAAATTCCATATTTCTCGGAACGAAAGCAGGATTGAGAATACCAAGAACATCAAACACTGTTCATGTAATTTGAAATTCAGTAGAAAACAAAACTTTTCCTACTTTTCAGAATGTTTAGGTTATTATGTAAATTCTGATATTAGTGGAATGTAATATTAATATGTTCATGTTCATATAGCACTGATTGTAGGTTTGTTAGACTTGTGAATAGCGACCTCGCTGCCAGTCTAGACTATTTGAGTTACAAACTGCCGTAGTTAGGTAAGCATCTTTGTATGTGCATAGATACCTACCTCTACACTGAAATTAGTAGTTAGTGTAGTTTGTGACCTCAAAAATAGCTTGTTAATATACTATTAACAAGCTATTTTTGAGGTTGTGGCGGGTTTTGGGAGGTTGTGGCGGGCTTGTCCCATTAAAAAAAAAAAAATACTATTAACAAGATCATCCTTTCTGGTGATATTATGTATGTGGGTTGGGTAAATACTACAGAAATTATATCAATAGATAGCTTATGAGCAACAGGAGTTGCATGTTAGCACAAAAAAGTTGCCAATAAGATCAGCATAAAAATACATATATTAAAATTTACTATACTTAAAAGCCTTGTTGGCGTAATAATTCATTGATAGTAGTTTAACAGTCCGAACTAGTCTTTCACTTACCCAAAAATAATTAAAATAAAGCAGTAACTTAATCGAGCAACCTCATAGAAGAATTCATATTCCGCGCTCGCAACTCAAGTCATAAAGAATCTGACATTAATTTGAACTCCCTCCAAAATACGCGTATGTTTACAAGGACCGACGGAAATATATTGCTATGCAGTACATCGTAATCTTGATCCACAAAACAAATACGTTCCGGTTGTAAGGAATGGCGTAATCCCGGCACAATTGTGACGTCACGCTCAGAACACGTCATAATTAAATTTGGCGTGCGTCTCGTCAATCACTGCCGGGCCTGCTGTGGTGTAGTGGAGATGTTACAGTGAAACCACTTTGTTAGGGGGCGAAAGTGAATGGTTTATAAGGTCATTGAAATTGTTTTACTGATCCAGTGGTCATGGTGAATGATACCAAGACTGAAGGATGAGATTATGACGCATTTGTAATATTCGTAAGTTTTGATTATTAAGGCCTGGCGCTCACGTACCGAGCTGCACCGATACCCACCGATAGTAGTCGCCGGGCCTACCTGTCAGCATGAAATGTAACTTAACAAATACTTATAAAAAGTAAAAAATGTAGGCTTTGATAAAATCAGGACCAGACCAGTTCTTAGGCTACGAATCAAATCCTATTAAAGTTTCAAATGTGTCACTTTAACAACTGTTGATCTACTGTTTTGTCCTTTACAGTGTAACATAAAGAGTATACAAATTAAAGTTAATCTTACTCTCAGCGGTCTTTGCGCATTCGTTGTTGTTGCCGTCATTCTCACAATCAGCTTTCAGTTTCCCTGCGCAGAACGGATAAATAGGTACATAAAATAAAAGTCATCTCTACTAGAATCTATTCAAAACTTTGATCTCCTGTCGACCAAGCATGGTTTTATGCTCAATTATCCTCTTACACCATGCTAATTTCAAGCACAAAAGCATGCTTAAATTTGAGCACTTGTCACTTAATACTTAATAATATGTGTCGAAATGTTGTTAGAAATTTGCGTGCTCATTTTAGACAAGATAGGCGTTCGATTATTAAAAATGTTTTAAGCATGCTCCATAAAACGCCTTGTATGCTACTTTAAAGCATGTGTTACAGTCCTTAAGAGATCTTTCTATAATCTTTAGGCTTGGTAGGAGATTGAAGTTCGCGGTTTAAAAGGTTCAATTTCGTGATATATCTAGACTAGAGACCAACCAAGGTGTCGTAACAAGTTATACGAATAAGAAAACTGTGACGTCATCATACCGATTTAAATTAACAACCGACAATTCCATAAAAAAACTAGTGGAAAGTACTAGGAGTCAATAAAGTAAAGGAGTTTACTTACCATTAGCAGCGTCGACTAGAACTTGAATGAAGTCAGGTCTAGGTTTCACTAAGTTTTCTCTACGAGCCTTTAGTGCAGATTTGAATAGCTGAGAAAACTGTTCCGCGTCTTGCGTGGGAATTAATTTAACTCCTAGAAACTGTAAAAATTAAAATTATGGGTTTATTCGTATAAAAAATTACGGTACTTTATTTATATGTATATACACTTGTAGTATTATGATAGTACTATTCACTGCGGAGCATGAAACCGAGATTTCATTATGCTCGGTAGTTCCACTTGTACCTTGTACTTGACCAATGACGTTATCTGTTTCATTAATTTATGATACCACAAACAATATAACATGTAACTGAACACTAATATGATCTTAAATGCATAGACTGGCCATCAGAGATGATTCTCTACACCGTTCCTGTCACGACGTCTACCATTAAATAGTGTTGTAATAATGTAAATTTTATAATCTTAAGCACGATCAAATGTTACAAGTAACGCCTGTTGAATAGTAGTAATTTAGTCTTTAGTAATTTAGTCTGTGCCTGGGAAGTTAATGGGATGTCACTTTGTCTTTGCATTGAATGGCGTCGGAATGTGCCATGTTAAGTTTCTTATATAAATTTACGTTATAATAGTGCTCATCATTTATTTAAACCAGCAATCAACCACTTTAACAATAAGTATTGTGTTCATTTCTGCAGTATCCTTTACCATACAAAACTTAAACTGATACAGCTCCCAACATAACTTCGTATTTAATTATAATGTTTTTCGGTTTATTCAAGTAACTACTTCATGAGGAACTCGATTTTGAGTAGCAGCGCGACCACGTTGTGTGTCGCGGAAGCACATCAATATGAGTTTCTAGAATGGCTTGAAACTGGTGGAGTTCCTCATCGAACAGTTACGTCAGTAAGCCAAAGAAATAATAATTAATTTAGTGAAACAAGTGAATTTATTTCTGCAAATAGGCTACAAGGCAGCACTTTTACACGTCAGTTTTATCAAGCGAATGATGAGGTCGACGTCTTCTAACTGACTACTCTGAGAAGAAATTATCTTACTAATATTACAAATGCGATAGTTTGTGGGTTTGTGTGTATTGTTACTCAATCACGTAAAAAATGGCTGAAGGAATCAGAATTAAGTTTGAAACAGGGATAGATTACGATCTGGATAGGCATAGATTGGGTCAGCCTATGTGTTACATAGAACTTTTTATCCCATGTGTAACAGAGAGCTGGATGTTTCCACAACGAATTCAAAAACCGAGAAAATTGGCGGGAACGTGGAGCGTCTTCGAACATGCTCACTCACTCAAAGTTTCGGCGGCGACTGTTGTACCCCTATACTTATTATACTCTTTCGACTGTTGGTTGGCGCGAGCGTGGGCGCGGAGCCCGCTGGAGCGAGGCGTGGGCGGGGCTTCGAATTTTGAATTTTAGCGCGAAAGCGAATTTACTACGTTACCACCATTTTTCTTATCGCGCTATAAATGAGGTTTATAACAAAAAAGTTGCCTACACCATGGGGACTAGTAAGTAGTACAAATACCTTCATAATGCTCTTCATATTCTCGTAACCGAAAAACTTCATGACTTGCGTAGTGTCCTGTATGACTGCCTTCTTCCCTAGTCTGAAGATGCAGTTGTTGGGATCCTTGAGAGAATCAGACGCGAAGCCGAACGCGCATGATGCTATCACGTCGTTCACATAAGACATTGTTATCTGTGGAATTAGAGTAGTTACTTATTATTGATCACTTTTGTATTGAAGTAAGTTTTGTTTTAATTTTTTTTATTACTGGAATTTGGTAAGTAGATAGAGGGCTTATAGGTTTTTTCATATAACTGCAGGTGAAATTAGTTTGATCATTCAATTTTTCTGTGTTTATTTTACCTAATCATACTAGGGTTAGTGTGTCTTTTAATTCTATTACCGACTTTAAAAATGGAGGAGGTACTATGTACGGCTGACTGTTTTTTTTCTTTGTTTGTTCACCGATTACTTCACCATTTGTGAACCGATTTCCAAAATTCTTGTTTTGGAAATCAGTTCATAAATGGTGAATACTCCCATTTCCATAACTTCAAGATCTGATGATAGAATCCTAGGTACACCTAGGGAACTTTCGAAAATTATAGGGGCGAGTAAAGCGTCTATGGCTCCGACTTCCTATCAGTGGGTGGGTAACCTATCACTACTAATATATTAATAGTTATTTTTGGCTTTTTAGGTTTTACTTTTTGTTTGTTATTAGTTTTTGGTTTTTTCGAAGTCGGTTTTTTAAACGCAGTTTTTAAACCAATTAATCCAATGAAAGAATGAGGTCGAAAGACGTGTCAGTTTTTAGAGTGTCGCAAAAAACCTAAGTGAGGTTTTTCGACATTTAGATTGTACCATTACCTTTAATTTAATTTAATCCAACAGATAGTTTCTATTTGCAGACAGAATAAAACTTACAGTGTTAACATCGATGACTTGTTCGCCAGTTATCTTTTCCTGTAAATAGTTGAGGACTGCGCACGCGCTCTCGGACATGAGCGGCACCATACTGCGGCAGCGAGCTCCGGAAAACGCGGGAGATAAGGAGGCACGCATTGATCGCCATTTTGATCCTGTGATGAAATGGCGTAAATAATCAGATCACTTTTTATATCAAAGTATCTATCTATAACCTACAATTTTCATTATAATATACCCTAAGGTCAATAGCCATAGTCGTGGAACCTGCACCATGAAGATTTGACGTACTAAAATCCCATGTAATAGAGGGTGAACGTATCGCTAGAGATTTTTTTTTAAAACTCAGTAATATTTGCCCGACCCGGGAATCGAACCCAGGACCCGTTGCTTTGCAACCACTCGGCCAACGAAGCAGAGTGAATAACTGTTAAATAAAAAATAAAAGGCTCGTTTAAACAGAACAATGTTAAGCGATATAACTTTTGTAATTTTCACATTACAATATCAAAGTACCAACATAGCATAGTTCAGAGGAGGTTGCATAAGTTGTTGAACTGTATACAAACTCTTTGCTCTTATCTTTGTACAAAGTCAAGTCGGTGGAAGTCGTGTGAACGTTGTTGTTACGGTTAATTTTCTAACTAGGTCGGAGCGACCCGACTCATAGTCATAACGGGTAGTATTATGTCAACTGATTCTAAAGCAGCCATCTTTAATGAACTTTGGATAACTTTGGACAATGTCATGTGTGACGCACGATGGAGGAATGTTATATAGTTTGTAGGCATAAACACCTAAGGGTCTTTGGTTATATTTGAGGATATAATTATTACCTGCATCGGTAAATAGTCAACCTTAGTTATGCAGTAACATTTTTTATCTAGAGGCTTACATGACCCATGTTATTCGATAAATAAAAGCATCGAATGGTAAAATATAGGTATACTTAGCGCTGGTTTCGCCACCTCCATATAAGTACCTGATAAACGTATGTGACAGATAGTTCAAATACATTATGTTGTTAATTGGAATTTATCTGGTAGACAGCGGCTATCCAGATATTGTGCAACAGGCCCTAAGTCTAATGTATATTCTACACCTAATTTTAGTCAATGACCGTAGTCCTTATAGATTTTTTGTGAAAGAAAGAACTTCCTTCCTTGGATTATTTTCAAAACAATATTGATGGCGATATTTTTAATATTTTTTTATATTAGATGTGGCTGACGTTTGACCACTATCCCGCCTGGTGGTAAGCGATGATGTGACCTACGATGGAGCACGTCCACTCTTAAGCAACCTATTTACTCGGGCCTTGAAGACACCCAGGTTACCTATATACCCTTCAGGAAATACAGACTCTGGCAAACAATTCCACTCCTTAGCAGTACGCACAAGGAAGCTTGATGCGAAGCGCTTCGTACGTGTGGGTGGGACACCTACCATGAATCGGTGACGCTTCGCCGATTGTCTTGTGGTACGATGATGGAATATGGATGAAAATAACGATATATTATGTATACCAGTCAACATAATGAGGTTTCTCCCAAACAGTGGGTCGCAGTCAGCATCGATGTGTACTCCTCGGTCGATGAACGAGTTGAAATCACGCACCATGATCTGACGGATCAGCTCCGGATCCCGAGGTATGAGGGTCGGTACCAAGTACTGGTACAAGCCAAAATATCTGAAAATATCAGATATTACAAGCTTTTTGTCTTAGATAATCCTTACTTCCTTACTAATATTATAAATCTGAAAGAGAGTTTGTTTGTTTGTTTGTTTGTTCCACCTTCACGCCGTAACTACTCAACCGATTGCTTTGAATTTTTGCAGACGTAAAGTTAGAAGTCCGGATTAAATAATAGGGTACTTTTAAACCCGAAAAAATTGATATTCCCGAGGAAAAACAAAAGTATTGGTATAGATGGCGCTGTGTGTATTGGTATATGTCACATAGACTGCTTTTTATTCTTTTGTGACGCGAGCGAAGCCGCGGGTAAAAGCTAGTATTATTATAAATAGAAGAAAGAAAGAAAGAAAATTTTTTTATTTGCACACTGACACAAGGGAATAAAATAAAAAACAATACAGTAAGACAGCGCAATTTTTATCCCATGGGAACGCGGGTGAAGTCGCGGGCAAAAGCTAGTCGGACATTAACAAAGTAAGAATCAAACATTTTTATTAAAAACCAACGATATAAATAAATAAAGGTTTAAAAACACTTCGAATAGATAGGTAATCTATTACTTTTTGGAAACATCAAAAAGCTATATCGAAATTGGTAGGTACATAGTTTTTTGAAGTTATGATACCAATTTTATAGACAATAATCTTCAAAAACAATAATTAAAAGGAAAAGAAATCGATACTATTTTATGTTTTTTTTGTCGTTTGTTGTTTTTACTTTGTTGCAAGAAGTAGTTTAGTACTAGCTACTAAACTAGCATATTTTTACGGTTTGTTGCGACCGGACTGATAGGGGTTTTTTTTTTTTTTTTTTTAAGGGGGGAAAATCATCGAATGACTGCCCCCGCCTGGGTGAGGCGGGAGGGAGTGTCAGACTCTTACTGACTAAAAACCACCCCGTTCCTTCTCCTGCACGTCGAGCCGGAGCCCCGGTTACCCGTTAGGTTCTCCGCGACTCCGAATCGGCATCGGCCCTATTGGACCCCATCTGTGGTGGTCTGATGGCTCTTTGAGGCGCGCGCGGAACGCGACGCGCCGTACGCTCGGGTCTGTTTCTGGTCGGACGGGGAGCCACCCATGCTCGCCGTCCGCAGGCCCGCGCTTACGGTGGCCGGAGATCGTCCCGCGATCCCCGACGCCCGGTGTGTCCTTCGCGATGGCTGGGTTGCGAGGAGGCAGCGCTTCGCTGCCTCACGCGTCCCGCCTCCTCCTTAGCTAGCATGACTGCTTCGCAAAAGGAGGAGACGGCATCCCATCCCCCTCGCTCCGCATCATGGCCTGCACTAGGCCCGGACGCGAGAGGTCGCCATCGCCGATCACTTCCCTGAGGCACGGCGGTGCTCAGCCCACGCAGGGCATTCTCCACGTGTGTTCCACCGTGTCCTCAGGGCGGTCCTCGCAGTGATGACACCCGGGCGTTTCCTCCCGCCCCATCAGACACAGGTACCTCCCGAAACTCCATGTCCGGTGAGGACCTGCGTCAGGCGGTAGGTGAGGACGCCGTAGCGTCTCTCAAGCCACTCCTCAAAGAGGGGACTTACCGCTGCAATGGCAGCGAGCCCAGCCCTCGGTTGCGACAGTCGTTGCTGCCATTCCGCCATGAGATCGCGCCGGAGCTCATCCCGCCACGCACTTATCTGGCGCGGCAGCGGAGTTTCGCCCCGGCGACGTGCCTCCGCGCGCATGCTACACGCGCGCGAGCACCTTCGCCTCCAGATCCCACGGCGGTAATCCGGCAAGGAGGTTCGCCGACTCCCCAGAGATCGTGCGGTATCCGCGGATCATTCGGATCGCCATGACCCTCTGTGACATGAGCAGCGTCCGAGCGGGACGCCGCAACAGTTAGGCGCCCAAACAGGGGCGCCGTAGAGGGCCATGGACCGCACGACCCCGGCGTATAACCTCCGGCAGGAGGCGTTTGGCCCCCCCGAGGTTGGGGAGGATGCGTTTAAACGCAGCCCCCGTCCTCTCCAACTTTGGAGCCAAACGTCGGAAGTGTTCTATGAAGTTCCACCGACTGTCGAGGACGAGTCCTAGGTACTTCATCGTCGTCTCGACGCCGATGGTAACCCTCCCGCCGTTATTTGGGACCCACCCGGAGGTGGCGCGTTCCCGCGGCCATGAAAACACATGGCCTCGGACTTGTGGAGCGCCACCTCGAGTCCCAACTGCCGGATTCTTTCAACGACTGTCGCAACCGCTGTCGCCATTAAGTCGGCCGCCGCCTGGTGTGACCTCCCGTGCGCAGCACCAGCGTATCGTCGGCGTAGCATATTGTGCTAACGCCGTTCGGGAGGTCGGTGCGCAGCACCCAGTCATAGCCGATGTTCCACAGGAGCGGCCCCAGAACCGAACCCTGTGGAACACCGCGTGACATCTCTCGCCGGTTCCACTCGCCCCGGTGACCGGGGTAGCTGACGGACCTGTCCGTCAGGTAAGCCTCGATTACACGACGGAGGTAGGTAGGCACCCGATGATATCGGAGTGCCTCCAAGATGCAGCTCCAGGGCAGGGAGTTGAAGGCGTTGGCGATGTCCAGAGACACCGCCACTACGACCTTACCCCTGGACACTGCAGTCCCCGTCGTGAGGTCTCTAACGCGCATGATGGCGTCCACCGTGGAGCGCCCTCTGCGGAAGCCGAACTGGCCGTCCGACAAGTCCGGCCCAATGTCCGTCAGGTGCGCGACGAGGCGGTTCGAAATGATTCTTTCGAAGACTTTCCCCACCTCGTCGAGCAACACTATGGGCCGGTACGCGGACGGAGAGTCCGCAGGGCGCCCCGTCTTCCGCACGAGGACCAGTTTTGCCCGCTTTCCAGAGAAGCGGGAACTGGCCTCTCTCCAGACATGCGCTGTAGAGACCAATCAATCGAGGCCCGAGAGCCTCTGAGGCCAGGACCCATGCCTTGCCATGCAGGCCGTCGGGTCCGGGGCGGTGTTCTTGGCGCCCATCCGGCGCACCGCCGCTCTCAATTCTGCCTCGGTCACCTCTGGGACGATGTCGTCGTCGTCGTCGCTGTAGCCCGCGTCGGGCACCGCAGGGGGCGGAGTCATATACGGAGGGGTGAAGCCCCTCCACAGTCGGGGAACAGGGCGCCAATCACCTCCTCCAAGACTTCTGGCCGGAGACTCTGGGTGAGCGGGGGAGCCCAGCGGAGCTTGTCGCGTACCATCGGTACGGGCGTCCCCACGGTCTCTGTCCAGAGTCCCCAGCATCTCTCGGCGGGCCTCCTCCTTGGCCCGCAATATCTCCACCTTGAGGAGGGCCTTGGCCGCCCTGTATCCCTCGTACAACTCCGCCTCTCTCGCCTCCGCATTAGGAGGACGGATGCGGCGCCTGCGGTGCCTAGTGTACTGGCGTCGCGCAGCAGTGCACGCCTTGCGTAGAGCTGCAGCTCTTGCGACCACCAGTACACCTGGCGCTTTTGTTGCCTCGACCGGATCCGGGGCATCGCCACGTCACAGATCCTGGACATGGCGTCCTGGAGCCACTTGGCCTCATCGTCTATGTCGGCAGGCCTGACCGGTGGTATCACCCAGGCCTGCACGATGGCGGCTTCCAGGAGCAGCTCCCGGTCCAGCTGTTTCAGCGCCCAACGCGGGCCACATGGGGCCTGTCTGACCGGCGGGTCTGCGGACTCGGCGGAGACGTCGAACCGGATATACCGGTGGTCGGAGTACGTCTCCACCTCCTCCATGACGCGCCAGCCAACAATACGCGGTGACAGAGCAGGGCTGGCGAACGATATGTCCACCACCGACTCGCCCTGCATCCGCACACACGTGGGGACAGAACCCCGGTTCAGGACGACTAGGCCTGTCTCAAGGGCCCAGTCTTCCACCATCCTACCCCGGACGTCGGTGAACCGGGAACCCCAAGCCAAGTTTTTGGCGTTGAAGTCCCCGAGGACGAGCACGGGGAGGGAACGGAACCCGACGACGACAGTGACCAACTCCCTCAAGGAGTTGTGGAACTCGGCGAGAGTTCGGTTCGGAGAGAAGTACACGCCCACCACAGCGAGCTCTCCGAACCGTGCTGCGACACAACCCCGGCCTCTTTGAGCAGCCTCAAGAGTCGGGGTACCGGCGGCGGCCGACGAGATGATGGTCACCGAGCCGTCCAGGTCCGCCACCCAGTGATCCCTGGGCAGGACAAAGTACGGCTCGGAGACCACGGCGACATTGATCGACCACTGCGCCATGCTCTGGAGCAGGAGATCCTGAGCAGCGGCGCAGTGGTTGATGTTCGCCTGGAGGAGGCGGAATGGGCCATTATTGCAGTCCATTCCGACCTCCTCAGTGGCGGCAGCGGCGACTGCGGTGGCAGTGGCGGCGGCGGCGGCGGAAACGGCAGGGGCGGCGGAGGGCCTACCTTTGCCCTTTTTAGCAGGAGGGGAGCAGCCCTTGCTCCCGACCCGGTGATTGGCCGGCTTGCCAGCCGCTGCACATGCGTTGCAGTGCAGCGGGGCGTTGCACGAGCCGGCCTTGTGACCGGGCCGACCGCAGCGGAAGCAACAGTCGCTGCGGTCCACCTCCGAGGTGCATTTGACACTCACGTGCTCCCCCACGTGACAGCGGTAGCACCTCAGAGGCCGGGTCTCGAGCAGCTTGACCTGCGCCGAGACCCATCCCACTAAGAGCCTTTTGCCCTCCTTTAATGTTTTGGCCGCTGTGACGGGGCAGCTCACCACCACCGTGCGCAGCCCCGAGTTGTCCGGACGTATGGCGCCCCTGACCTGGTCAGCAGGGCACCCTCCCGTCCTGGCCACAGCGGCCACCACCTCACTCTCCGTGACGGAGTCGTCCAGGCCCAAAATCCTGACATCCAGGCATTTGGTGGGCCTGGACACGCGGGCCTCGTCCGCACCGAGGCACGCCCTAAGCCTCTCGGCCAGGGCGTCGGCCGATGGGCCGCTGGTCGCGCCGGGGACCTCCAAAAGACGGGCTCCGGTAGCGGTCACCTTGACCGCGAACCCGTCCGGGGCCCCGAACTCCGCAGGAGTCACCGCCCCCTTTAATTTGGCGAGGACGTCGCCATATGTGACGCCCCTATTGACCGCTCAGGCTGTAGGGTGATGACCACAGCCGCGGTCTTAGGGGCGAGGAGCAGGGCAGCAGCGCGTTTCTCCCTGCGCTGCTGCTGCCGTCGTTGCCGCTGCGCCTTTTTTCGGCGCTTCCGGCCCTCCTTGGCGACTCTCCTCGCCTCGCCGGCGATTTGCCATCCGCCGCCATCCTCTGCTTGCGGGGCGGGTTCCGCCGCCGCGCCGCAACCCAGCCTGCCGGGCCGGAGTGCCCCTCCTCTTTTTGCGCCCAGCGGGCGCGGCGCAGGCGCCGTCGGCGCAGCCGGGGTCTGCGCCGGCGGGGGCGCCGAGGCCCTCGCTGGGGCAGCCGGTCGCGCCTTTGCCGGCGGTTGGGAGCTGCGGCTAGCCTGACCCGAGGTCGAAGGCTTGGCCGCAGCGGCCGCGTACGACCGCGGGACCGCGGGGGCGACCTGACTCGTCGCGAGGGGGGCCGCAAGAGCCTACCCTCCAGCACGTCGAAACGTCGCTGGAAGGCAGCCATCTCCGCCCGCAGCAGTCCGACTACGTCGGCCTCCGCCGGGGGCTGGGGGCGACTGCCGCGAGCAGCGGCGAGCTCGGCCCTGGCCGTCCGCAGCTCGGCCTCCAGAGCCGCGTTAGAGGCCGCCAAGCGCGCCAGCTCTCGCCGCATCTCGGCCAGCTCAGAGCGCACGTTTCCCGCAGTGGGCACCGCACGTTGCTCCAAGGCCGCCTCCGTAATGGTGGCCGCCGCCGCCTTGAGGAGGCGGAGCCTAACCGGCTGGGATTTCCCCATCGCCAGCTTGTAGAGCTCCGCCGTAATGGCCTGTTCGAGGCCCCCGGAGCAGCTCTCGCTCTCAGAGCCGCGCTCGCCCTCCGACATCTCCACGCCGGACATCTCGGCCGCAGAGGACTCCGAACGGGCAGTTGAAGAGCCCTGCCCTCCGCAGCCAGTTGCTCGGCTGACTCCGCGCAGGCAGCTGGTGCCGGTTTCCGGCGACCGCTGCCCTTGCCCCCCTACCCCGCGCTGCCGTGGGGACCTTGGGGGGAGGCGCCTCCGAGCGCCGGAGGACGGGGACAAACTGTCCTCCTCCAGCCGGGGGCGTTTGAACGTCCCCGTCGCGCGGCGGCGTGAGCCTTTCGAGCTCACGCTCAGCCGCTCCGCAATGTTGTGTCGGACTCTGAGTCCGACCCCCTCCGACTGGACTCCCGTGTGTGGGGCCTGCTGGACGAGTCCAGCGCCTCACCACGAGTCCCGGAGCCACTTGGGCTCCCTTCTCCTGCTACTGCAGGCGAGCCAAGCTCACCCGCACTCTCCTCCTCCGGTTGTGGTTTTTTTTGTTTTTGTTCTCCATAAAGTTCCCACGAGTATGGGGGAAATATTCGGTCCACCCAGGCAGTGCCCCCTGTACCTGGGTAAGTGTTAATTTGTTTCCCAACTAGAGGTTCCACTGGTCCCCTAGCTGGGGGTGCGCTCGCGACTGACACTACTCCTCAGCCATGCATACTCTCGCCGCGCACCAGAACTTAGTATTGGAGGAATTTTTTATAGAGGTTATCTTCCTCGCGGTCCGGGCGACCAAGCCAAGACCCTCGTCCCGTTCAGAGTCACAAAACATGACCGTGATCTCCTTACGGATTACGATATCGACGGCTGCAATCGGGGACAGCTTGTGTCCCGATGCTGCTCGCTGGCAGGGTGAGTGCACAACGAGCACCGCCTTTGCCTCTCCGCCACGCTCTCTGCTATGTCCAGAGAGACGGGCGGAGAAACACCCCTCGGAAGCGCGGGCTATGAGCCTCCGCACACAGCCCGCCGCCTCCAGAACCCTATCGGGTTCGCCCGCCCAGTCCAGAAGTCTGCTGCGGGCGACAGTCACTCCAACCCTATCACCCCCGCTAGGGAGATTGTCGCCCGCACCCAGGGTGCACCACGGGGAGGTCTTCTGGCACCGCACCCCGACTGATAGGGCTAGTTGTGCTTTGAATAGTGACGATATTTTTAATCAACCGTCACCTTATAAATGTAAGTTTAAATGAACACTATTAGTAGAACTAGAATGCTTTTACTTATAGACGAGATTGTATCGAAATATCGTAAAATCCACACAAATATTAATCATCGCAAATAAATGATCTCGTTTTTGCGACTACTGAATGTGTTAGGAATATATCAAGGTTTCGAGAACACCTTTTTAAAATAAATAACAGAATATTTGTGTAAAGAAACGCTGATTTGCAGCTGAATTATTTTCATTTTACATTAGAAGTACTAACCTTTGATCTTTGAAGGCATTGTATCCCGCCGCGATCGCTTCCACGAAATTTTCCCGCCCAAGAGTGACAGCTGTCAAATTCCCCAAAAACGGGACCGGAGGCAACGTACGTACACCCCGGGACGAGAAGTAACTCAAGCGATGGCGGGAATAATAAAAGAGACACGTCACTAAGATCACGATCAACAACCACATCTCTTTGTTTTGTTATTAAGCACAAAATAAACAAAATTAGATATTTTATTTTGTTTTTTCCGTCAACAAAACACGAATTCCACAATACGGTATTTAAACACTGGCCACTGGCTTCCACGAAGTCATAAACACGTTCGATTTTTAAAATTGGAATCAGTCTTTTTTCTTTTAATATATTGGCTACGTATTTGTTTTGCGATTTTAGCAAAAATACAATGTAACACGTGTTGGCGCGCTTTTAGTGAACTAACGTTTGAATTTGACTATATTAGAAACTGACCGGCATCGCGTAGAGAAAGTTGTGAAGGTAATGGCTGCACGCTGACATAGCGAATAAGTGGATGTTACATAACAGAACTCGGAACTGGTTTTTGTAAGCCGTGACCCTCTTTCGAAGTTGGTCATAATATTCGACGCATCGTGGGTACAGTGCCCGATATAGTGTTACGTATGATTATGTATTATAATACCGACATAACTGTTACTTTAAAAAAATAAAGATATGATTGCAAGCAATGTAGATCCTCTATCGTGCGCTTTTGTGAATAGTAAACCAATGAATTATTCGCTGTAACAAGCGTGGGAGAACCAAGCAAGTGATACCACGGCCTCACAGAAAACCGAAGTGAAACAACGCCTACCTTTTGTTTCGTCGCATTAGTGAGGCTGACCAATGACCCCTCCCCAATCTCTTCAATCCCCGAATAGTCCTCAAATTCCTAATCCCCAAAAGGCCGGTAACGCACTTGTGCGGCTCTGGTGTTCCGAGTGTCAGGGCAACGTCGATTACTTACCATCAGGTGATCCGTCTATTCGTTTACCGGCTTATCCCATAAAAATACATTATCTATCCTGATGTCGGAATCGTACCTATGTGTACATCTAAATGAAGTTTATCAAGTATAACGACTAAAGTTTTAAAGCAATTTTATTAAAGAAAAATCTTCCCTGTAGTTTATGATTTGGAATTCTGCCCAACAAGGAAATTTACGAGGTGATATTTCCTTTCGATGATAAAACATCAAATCAAAACGTTTGCTTCTCTTGAAAGGAGCGCATAAAATCGTTGGAATAACCTAACTTTTATCACAAACAACATGCAATTGTCTAGTGACGGTTTCCGAGGGCATATCTGCCGGATAGTTTATAGACACAATAACGTGAGACGAGCAAAGAAACGAATAACCGTTTCTAGTAACGTATACGAGTAATAAACTAGTGAGACAGTGGTGTCCGTGTCCCGGGATTGGTTTGGGAATTGCCTAGCTCTTCGCGATTATATTACGCCGTTTGCCAAGCCACTTATTTAGTTTTATATTGTCTTGTTTGATTTATTCTTTAGGGTTTTCGATTTTTGAATTCGATTGTATGGTGTTCGTTGAGATTGATGCATGTATGTTACGTAATACTGAGGTTTGTTCGAAGAAAAAAAAAATTGCAGTATGGACGTGAATTTTCCTCATGCCAGTCTTATCAGAATATTGGAACATAAAACGCTTTACTTTCATCTATTCCTAATTGTAATATAAAACATAAACAAATGACTGCACGGTTGGTGCGGTGGTTGGGCAACTGTCTGCCGCGCAACGTGTCGCGGGTCCGATTCCCGTACGGAACAACTCTTTGTGTGATCCACAGATTGTTGTTTCGGGTCTGGGTGTTATGTGTATGTGAACTTGTATGTTTGTAAACGCACCCACGACACAGGAGAAAATCCTCGTGTGGGGCAATGTTTTTTTTTTAAAAAAAACATTATGTTCGTAAAGGACTAATCAGTCACTCAGCTGCTAAGTTGAAACTTATCCTATTCTGCAAATTCGAAAGCGGCTTAAAAATTGGGCTACCTTAAGCGAAAAAAGTAGATACATAATATGAACGAAGCAATACATAATTAAGTATCTATTTCCATATTCAGCAGGTGCGCCATGAATATATTTAGCTGATGTTCCGACAAGAATATCGGGTGATCGACAAAAGAGAGTTAGTTGAATTATCTATTCTCCTTGTTCTGTCTGCTATTTGAACAAAATGTTTTATAGGCAAGTTAAGCCATACAATTTTAATATAGAATGAATAAAAAAAACAAAATTTCTTCTATGTATCTGTTAATCTACAATACTCGTTTATGAAACTCCATTTCCATAACATCTGTCACAAAATTACTAATTTTATCTGTAGAGACCACATTAAATCATTACCTACGTACAATCTAAAAACAGCGTGGACTAAATTAGCATGTCCTTTCTAACTCCTAAAGGGCAGAAATTACGATTTCATCCCTTAAAAAGGGCAAGGCGTTTAAGCGTAAGAATTAATTTGACGTCACATAATATACACATCCGTATTAATTATATGCTCGTTTGGCCGGACAAAACTTTTTGTTTTGTTTGTTATATAAATGTGAGGGGCCGAAAGTGTCACTCATTCCATTAAGCGAGAACGGTCACATTATTAAATCTGTTCATTCTAGGGTTGACAACTTCAACGAAAGAAATTATGTTCGTTTCTGTTTTAAGAATGATGATGTGAATGTGATGTCTGTGTTCTTTTATAGATGTTGTGATGGATTGTTAGTTAGATCAAGATACCTATATTTGAAGGAAGTTGAACATTTTGATTCTTATCTTTTGATCTACTTAAACAAAATTATCAATATTATTAGAATTGAATACGTTATACGTAAGTATATACTGGTAACCCGTCTCAGTGGTTGTCCTTACCTTATGTTCAGCAATCAGAAAGAGTTATAAAGACGTCAATTGCTACTGAGGAAAAGTCAATAAATTGTAAAAGTTTGCTCTATGTCATCTTTATTCAATCCCAAGAACCTCGCTTTCGACATCTAGTAACAAAAAATATTTTTTCATTTTTATACAAGATCAACCCTATATTATAAAATCTCCACGAAGTTGAGTCTTTTAGGCCTCACGTGGCTTATATATGTTAATGCGTTCCCTGTTCCCAGAGAATTGATTTATGTGTTTTTAAAATTATTCCTGTGTACTTATTCGTGGCTACTCGAGTCCTGTGGACAGTTGTTTAAAGTACTGATGAGTACTTAAACAAAGAGCTGTGTAGATTTTTTTTTACGGGGGGAAATCATCGAATGTCTGCTCCCGTCTAGGTGAGGCGGGAGGGAGTGTCAGACTCTTACTGACTAAAAACCACCCCGTTCCTTCTCCTGAGCTTCGAGCCGGAGCCCCGGTAACCCGTTAAGTTCTCCGCGACAGCTGTGTAGAATTAGGTTTAACTTTTAATATTAAGGTAAGTATCTATTATTGTTGGATAATATAAAAAATAACAAGGTACATTTTTTGTAAGTTTTCAGTATTTCGTTGGATATTCTTCTCAATAAAAAAGTGGCATAATGTACACCTCTGCCTATCCCTTCGGGGATAAAAGGCGTGATGTTATGTTATGTTATTCTTCTCAATTAAGGGTTAGGATGGAAATCAAGGCGAATGTGGAAAATACTAAAGATGTGCGGTCGCAACTATGAAATAGTTTACGTAGCGCAACTGACATCTTATAAATTATTTGAGGTGATAACTAAGCTTAACGACAGTCAGAGTTTTATTATTTTACTAAGTCAATGTAAAACATAACATAATATCACGCCTTTTATTCCCGAAAAGGTAGGCAGAGGTGCAGATTACGGCACGTAATGCTAATGTAACACCCAAATGTTTTCATAATTATGTTATGAGTCCTATGTTATCTTCCACCACCATGGGGTCTTGAGCCCATTGCCTATTGCCATACACCGGGCACAATTCCAAACTACCTGCTACTAGCAGCAGGTACTTAATTTCAACTATTATCTATACTAATATTATAAAGCTGAATAGTTTGCTTTTTTGTTTGTTTGAACGCGCTAATCTCCGAAACTACTGATTCGAATTGAATTAATCTTTTTGTGTTGGATAGTCCATTTATCGAGGAAGGCTATAGGCTATAAAACATCTCGCTATGACCAATAGGAGCCGAGCAGAGCGGGTGAAACCGTGCCCATGCAGCTAGTTATTACATAAAATAACCATTTATTTCCTTACTTTTATGTAAATAAAACTTCGTTTTTGATCATCCCCTGTGTTTTTCGGAAGCGTTCTGTTTACACCTGTATATTTATACAACCTATATAACATTATTGTTATTGTTAAAGCCTCATTGTTTAATTTAATACATAAGGAGATTATGATTCGTTTAATTAGTATCGCATCTGTGTTCGATTGAGTACAATTAAATTAAAACATTAATATTATGCATGATTTATTTTATTATTATTTTTCAATTATAGGGATGTTATAATTAAATAGTAACATGATAATTATTAATTGTTCATTATCTGTTATGAAGTTTAATTACAAATAATGTTATCATTTTTTCGTGAAACCTTTTAGTTGGGGCGTGCTATTCGTATGTTATTAGTGTAATTAATTAGTTATTTATAATAACTACAAACTTATTAACTAAAAATCGCGGGTTACTCACGGTGAATATACTGACAAAGCTCTACTAGTTTCGAACCACAGAGGGGTTCTTCCTCATGAGCAGCGTGTGCGGTCGCGGCGATGTCAGTAGGCTGCCGACATCTAGTAGAGCTTTTCTCAGTATATATATTCACGTGATTAACCCGCGATTCTTAGTTAAATTAATTAGTAATTATTACTAATTATTAGTCAGGTTTGCATGAGTGTCGTTCCATTTAATATCACCGAAATGGATGATCTGAATGTATGATAATTTTAGATTTTGGTAATTGGTAGTGAACTGTAGTCAGGATCGTAATAAAATGAAGTGAATGTTTTTATGAACACTATTTATTATCTGTTCATATTATTTTCGACGAATGCTGAGCAGCATCAGGTGATTCGTCTGCTCGTTTACCGGCTTATGCCATAAAAACACTGTACTAAAAAACAAACGATTAATAAAGTTAGTGCAACTATATCCCGGTCAAAACCATTTTTTAAGTATTATTAATACAACATTATCAGAGT